CTAGCGTGTTCAGGATGTGGTACTCTTTTCTCTGGTACAGAGGGAACACCGCTTTGTGATGTTCTTTTATCCTCAGTTGAACATCGTACTGGGCGTTAGATTTCTTCAGGTTCCAGTAGTTGGAGAATTCAGTGCTGCTGGAGTACTTTTCGTATCTGGTTGTTGTCATGTGGTTGGTATGGCGTGACTTGAACGGTGGCGCCGACATACCGGTGTATTCTTTCTTGGTGGGGCTCGCTGGAGCTCGCGCTATTCCGCCGACTTGACTTGACACTTGACTGACTCACGACTGCCATCCAGAGCACACGAGAAGTCCATCGAACCTTCGACTCGGCAAACCTCCAAGAAAGCACCACTCCCTGCTCAATACACAGTGTTTCGGGGAATTCACCCCTCATCAATTGTCAAGTATCAAGTCAAGTCGGCGGAATAGCGCGAGCTCCTGTATGTGAGCAAACCCATTCCTAAAAATCATCGCCGAAGTCGCAACCACTATTTCGTTCCAATTCGGTGTTCGTCAAAATCACCAGGACACCTCGTACAGTTCACAGCAATAGCGGACGAGTAGTACCCTACGGGACAAGGCTCACAGGAACGGTGTTCCGAGTATCCATAGCCCAATGGACAATGTTCGACAGTGTTTACCACTCAGAACGCCTAGTAATGTCTTATAACCAACGGATTTGGTAGCAAAGGTAGTAAGTAAAAAAAAAAAAAAAAAAAAAAAAAAAAAAAAAGACAACCTAAAAAGACGAGATCATCGATCACATGTTGTCTGTGATAAACGTACTGGTTTATTCTAAATATAATACTTTGTAGTAGTCTCCATCGAGGAGCGAGTGGAAAAGAACAACAAACCAAAGAACAGCACAACGGAATCAGCATGCTCAATGTTTAATCATGCGTGCATGCCAAATACCAGTGCATGACGTAAGCTGACGTAAGCTGCGTACAATAAGACAGATGCACGCGAGTGGTTGCATAAAAGGATAGCGTACATAATAATACAACACGCCCTTCCGAGATCATAATGGGTGAACAAGCCAGACTATGATCTTAACATAATAATACAACAGGCCATAGATGCTGAAGTTGAAAAAGTGTATAACCTTAACTGTGGTGTTCGCTCCATGGCCACGGATATGAAAAAGCAGTGCTGCACTCGAAGGTCTGAGATACAATTCATCAGGTCTGTTAGTGTAAAATCCGTCTAGTAGCAAAATGATTTGTTCAAGTACGAAGAAAAGGAATGGTAGAAGCGCATGGGAACTGGCCGTGACAGAGAAATCTTGAGGAGATGTATGAACGAAAGGTTCTTGATCGACATTGTACGACTTTAAATAAATCCAACCAACCAACATCACGAACACGTGATCAGTCAGTGCTAACCCATCTCCAACGTCGGGTGTGCTCTTGACACTTCTTGGATTTTCTTCATTGACTACATGTACGTTGCTACTACCAAAAAGAATGATGTCATCACCATACGTAGTGGCTGAATGTCTGAATGACCGTATTGACTATTGACGCGGCAGTTTCTCACCGAAAACATTATCAGCCGGTTGGGTCCACGTACCGGGAGCACGACTGTTCATCCGTCATCTGCAGTAGCCATAAATCGCTGTAAACCTGTGTCCGGTTTCTCCCACCCTTTATCACCAAGTATCACTATCAGTTACTTGTTGCTCCTGTGCCTGAATGCCACGTGGTTATCTCGAGGCACCAGTGTGGCCTGTAGACATAGCCCGATTTTGCTAGCAATTCTGCTGGCAAAATATCGAAGAATTTTGACGAGAGAATTTGCTGGCAAAATGGAGCAAAATATCGGTATGTTCGCGGGAAATTGGGAGATTTTACACTTATACGATGCATGTGACTCATTTTCGTACATTTTTGCCAACACGTGACTCATTTTTTCTTATTTTGGCCAACACGTGACCCACTTTCGGTCAGTTTTCCTACACGTGACCCAAATTTTAACCTTGCATTGGAGCAAAAAGGGAGCAAAATATGGAGTGACCTGGCAAAATGAAAGCAAAATATCGACGATGGGCGAGCAAAATGTTGCGGCAAAATATCGAAGTTTCCCTGGCAAAATCGGGCTTTGGTGGCCTGGCCATGGGATGAAGGTTGCGTAAGGCGTCGCCAGTAGCCTGTGGAATCTAGACTAGAGCAACGTGATCATACTGGACAAACAAACACCAACTAGAATCAGGGTGAACCCAGTGTTGCCAACCGCCCGTATTTGTCCGTATTTTTACGGAAAAACGAAGGTTTGTCCGCAGTACGGATTCCAATCAATTATCCCGCAAACGATCATGTATATTATTGATTACTAAAACCATCGTAACTCCATCGTTTCTTGTGCCAATTCAACAATCCAAGAGTCTACGTGGTAGCAGAAACTCCAAGCTGTCCAATGCAACAATTGCTGAAGTGTTACGATGTCGGACTCCTGAGATATCGCGCGCCGTATTCAGGTATTCGTACCTTGGCAAAATCAAATTTTTCGATCGAACTCTTCGCCATTTTGGGGGAAATCCCTTTTTTGTGTGCTCTTTGAGCGACTGAGCACTTTATAATGATGTGACCGGCGGAAGTTTGAATCGCCTCGAAAAAATTTGAGCGTTCTGCGATGAAGGAGAGTGGAATGGTGTTGATGGGACGATGTGCTTGCATATTAGGCTTGGAGACGACTTTGCTGTGTTACCGCGCCTGATTTGTGGCGGCTTCATAATGGAGCTTGGCATCCTGGCGTTGCTCCTGCCTAGAGCTTTCCAACGAGCCCTAGGTTATGAAAATCTAGCGAAGTAGACCAAAGTTATGACCTGGTGAAGTTGAAAATTGTACTGAATTCGTGCGTAGGTTTCAAAAGTGAACTAGATCAGTCAAAATGTTGACCTGAAAAACGAATACGGAAAACTCGGAAAAATTATGCAAAATGGCACTGGGCAATAAGCATGGGGGTAGAGGGCACTTGGTAACACTGTGAACCAAGCTTTTGTTTCTTGTCTGAGAACCTCCCAAACCATGCCTAGCATAGCTCCCTCTACACCCCCACAGGCAGGTTACCGCCCACCTAAGGAGGGAGAAGGAGATGCTGCATCTGAGGTGCCCTACTACAATGGAATACGATATTTCGTGGCGATCCGCGATATCCGCAGCAAGCGATTTTAGAAAACGTGCCGCCTCCACTCCACACACACCGTTGGTTGCGAATACCAGTGGCGTAATGATTGCGCCATTAATCCCTAAAGAGGAGTCAAAATGTACATGTACGTGTAAGCAGTCGATATAGCCCTCAGGGGTGAAATATGCAGGAATATTTGACTGCTTAGGTATAGCAAAACTCTGCATGTGAAAGTCAATACCAACTGTGTGGTAAATGTATCTACATCTAGAACTCAGTCTCACACACTGGTCGGCGTGGTGACAAACACCATCTTTCATGTTGTATTATGTGTGTCCAAACCTGATATCGCCTAGTTCGAAGTAGTTCCTTCAGTGCGAAACTGATGAGGGGTGGATTCCCCGAAACACTGTGTAGTGAGCAGGGAGCGGTGCTTTCTTGCAGGTTTTGCCGAGTGGAAGGTTCGACGGGCTTCTCGTGTGCTCCAGACGCAGTCGTGAGTCAGCCTAGTGTCAAGTCAGTCGGCAGGAAGCGCGAGCTCCGACGTTCGGAGCAAACACCCCTTTCCTACAGAGCTAGTGGAAATCTCTAAACGAACTTCTCGGCTAGCTAGCGCTGATCTAGGGTGCAAAATTGATAGTATCGCCGAACGGCATGAAATTTCATCCCCCATGGTGCCGACAATTCTCCAGTCGAAACCTTCCTTCCCATATTACCGTCCATATGATCAGAACGGGGTTTAGTATGCCTGACCAACTGGCGCAGTGGTTTGAAAGCACTGAAGGCCGCATCGGGCTGCGACGAGCGTTCCAATTTATCGGACACCATGGCACGTAAGCATGGCTTGGCAAAATTGAATATAACGGAGGCCAACCAGCAGCATCCACCCCCGGAGCCAACGCCTCGAGGTCTAGATAAGGTGGCAGTGTTGAAATACGAAGATGGAGAGGAGGTGCCTACCACGGCGTTACAGTTACAGCTTGTGAGACACTTGGGCAAAGGAAGCTTCGGCGAAGTGAAGGAGATGTACCACCCTCAGAGCGGCAAGAGAATGGCCGTGAAGTTCATCACTCGCAAGACGAAAGATCCGCTAGACGAGAAACGCCTGCTGATGGACCTAGACATGACGAGAAAGGCTGCCGCGTGTCCGCATTCTGTGTTTTATTACGGCGCCATGTATATGGAAGGCGAGCTCCTCATTTGCATGGAGATGATGGACCATTCACTGGATAAACTATACAGAGAAATACGCGACACGCTTCACCGGCGAATTCCCGAGCCCGTCGTGGCCCGAGTAGCTATCTCGATTCTCTCAGCCCTGAGCTACCTCAAGGAAGCACACAACGTCATCCACCGTGACGTCAAGCCGGCTAACATGCTCATCGACTCGGAGGGCAACATCAAGATCTGCGATTACGGCGTCAGCGGGGTGCTCATCAACTCCTTGGCCAGAACTGCCGACGTGGGCTGCTATAACTACATGGCTCCAGAACGCATCGACCCAAGACGAAATCAATCCACCGCATATGACATCCGCTCAGACGTCTGGAGCCTAGCTATCTCGCTCGTGGAGCTAGCGTGCGCAGCATTTCCCTATCCTGGCATCACAAATCACTTCGAGGCCATGATAAAGATTGTGTATGAACCAGCGCCGACCCTGCCAGCGAACGGGACGTTCTCGCAGTATTTCATCGACTTCACACAGCTGTGCCTGAAAAAGGACAGGGACGAGCGACCCAAGTACCATGCTCTCCTGGAACACGCCTTTCCTAGCAAGCATGATGAAGCCCACTACGACGTCGGAGAGTGGTATCGCTCGACGGTAGGCGAGATGCAGACGAGAAAGGCGGCTCCTGGTGCGGCGAATGTGGGATCCGCGTCGCCAGTAGCACCGGCAGCAGCGGCAGCAGCGGCACTAGCTGCAAGTGCTGCATCACTATCAGTGGCAGCACCACTATCACTAGTATCAGGGGCAGCACCACCATCAGGGGCAGCACCACCATCAGGGGCAGCACCACTATCAGTGGCAGCACCACTATCACTAGTATCAGGGGCAGCACCACCATCAGGGGCAGGTTCCCTAGCAGGAGCACCATCGCTAGCAGCGGCAGGATCCTTATCAGTGGCAGATTCACTATCAGTGGCAGGTTCCCAACCAGGGGCATCATCGCTAGTAGCGGCAGGATCCCTATCAGGATCAGCATCGCTAGGAGGAGCGTCAATATCAGGTGTCGCGTCATCGCTAGCCGGATCAGCGGCACCATCAGTAGCCGGATCAGTGGCGCCATCAGTAGCCGGATCAGAAGCAGGATCCGTGGCAGGATCACAGGGCGTGCCAGAACCAGTGCTATGGGGATACACAGCACCATCAGCAGCAGGATCCGCAGCACCATCAGCAGCAGGATCCGCAGCACCATCAGCAGCAGGATCTGTAACACCAGAATGGCAGGGCGTGCCTGAGCCTTGGGGCGAAGACTTTGAGTGGCTGATAGACCCTAACGAACAGAACTGACAACAGCCATCATATCAACCACCAAGGAAACCTGACAACAGCCATCATACCAACCACCAAGGAAACAACCCCCTACCTTGCATGCAACCAACATAATTATTATGAGTGCTGGAAAATCGAAGAATATTAATTTTGTATTTGGTCACGTGATGCCATGCAGAATGCCCCAAGGACCGAGCTAGGGCATGCTGGTGCTAACGGGATTCCAGAGAAAACGGAAAGAGCCAAAATCGAATGTCATTTCCATGCTGCTCTGCGGTGATTTTCTGACCGATTCTAAGTTTTATGAAAGGTACCGGTGAAACCGTGATGTACATGTACCGGTATGTTTTGACAAGGAACAATCGTGCTGGTTGGTCGATCTAGAAAGTATTCATGTGTACAATGTATTGGCCAAACCAGATTAATAGTTTTTGACTTTTACTTGTGCTTGTGTGTGTAGCGAAGTAGCATGCAGTATGGTTTTACCTGTGTATCTACCCGACGTCTTCGAAACACAATGATAAGATGACACCAAGGTTTTTGCTTACCTCCTGAACAATGTACAATGTAAGTGTATTTGTGCTCCCGTATTTACGTACACTCGGATACTGAGCCAGTTCTCATGTGTTCTCTTTTTTTACCGTATTTATATGATAATATCGTTCCCTTGATTCGAAACCGTCTCCGATCATCTTTCTTTGCCACACTCTATAATAATTATTGCAGTACGTGAAAGGTTTTGGTGGGATTTAGGTAATTGATGGTAGCGTAAACTGTAAGTGTAACACAAGAGCGTGTATCATCGTTACTCATAGCGGAGGGACGCGGTATCCGAGCACACTTCAGGCTAGCCTAAAGCACAAGATAACGCTGCGGACAAAGTCTGGAAACAAAAACTTGCGACTTTGAATTCAACTTCACTACTCGAAAGATCTGGTCACGTGAAACAAAAACATTAATTTTTTTAAAGACAATGGGATACAAGCCAGTACACAGTCAGCCGCAGGTGTTCCCTATACAGTATACAGTACACAGTGAGACTTGGGTGTTCCCTATACAATACAGTCATGTACTTCTCAGAAGTACAGAGTCTGTGTACTTGTACAGTAAGTAGACTGTAACGGGAATGATATCAGCACCGTTACCGCCTCACTCGGACTCGCTATTGCGCGATTCGTCACACCTCAAGCAATTCAGCAGAACTGACAGGTCGATGGAAGTCACGGAGTTTTTTTCTTCCAGCAGAAGTACGAAGACTTTGTAGAAACATGTTTGCCGCCATTATAGTGAAAGGTGCATTCCTCGTTGAGAGGCGCCCCCCAGCGCTTCGGGAGATTGCACAATTCCCACTCTTTATGCCGTTCCATGCTGCGAAATTCAAGTTTGTCAGTTTTGTTTTATAACATTCAACGTGGTGAGTGGAAAAAGCAGAAAAATGAAAACATTCAACATGGTGAGCGCAAAAAGAAAAAAAAGAATAGAAAAAAAACGCAAAAAACAGCTGTTATAATCGATGGCACAGACTTATGGGTTGATGAAACAGAGAGTGTATGTCATCAAATAACATAATCGCATCATGCTCCTACATAATGGGTTGGGTTGGAAAGCTAGGATACGCCTGTCTATGTACAAACAGTCTAACTGCAAAATTCAGGGCAGATGGCAAAAGTAGGCTAGCTGTTCAGCTGGCTGTTTGCTTCTGGCGGCGCGCAATGCTGCTGCGACATACAGTGGGTCGGCTAACCCAGGCAATGCTATATGCAGCATGATAACACCCTGTGAAGCAAACCGTGCAACACAATATTCTCAATGGTGTTGGGTGCAGTGGGACAGCGTAGCGTGCATCGTTAGTCCATGACGTGTTCCGTATCCGTATGCTGACAAGTCATGCTGTGCTGTGTGATTGCGTGTGTGGCCTGTACTCCAGCTTTGCTGCAAGAGAGGTATTCAATAGGCGTTTGCGAGAAGAGATCAAACACTGACCGTGAAAGACAGAAATATGTAGAGAGAATAAAAAGGGGAGATTTGCAAGTATATACAGCGCCACGGCCACAGAAAGGGATTGTGCTATAGTCGCTATGACGGCTTATTGCCCCGTTTGGGGAACCTCGATACGCAAAAGACTGAGCAGCAAGCAGCAGCCAGTGGCCATACTGGTCAGGACGACAACGCCAACGGAGACTAGAAGTTTTGCGTGTCAGTCTCCTGCGGTGCAGCTCCCTCGCCGTCAGCCTGTTCGCTCTTGATCTTGTACTGCGGATTGACGTACTTGACAACTGCCGGGTGGAACAGAGGACTCTCATCCTGTAGATACACGGGGTGGGGAGAAAATGAGAACAACATAGCTTATAAGCAGGATGTAATGTGAGTCAGAATGAGCAACAATTAAATATAAATATTACGGATCGGTCTCCAGGGCGGATCAAGAAACACGTTTCTCCTGGCGTCTTACACCACCAACCCATAATCACCGGGCAGCTGGGATTGCAACTGAGCTACATAAATCGAAACAGGCCAGTGATACAAGGAAGAGTTGAGCTCGTCAGCTCACGACAACTTCTATCAAGGAACCCTGTCAAACATCCTCACCCTTCTCTTTGCCTTTGGGGAACGCTAGCTTATCAAACTTACCTGCTCCCATTCCTGCTTGTTACGGTTCTTCAAGAAGTCCTGGTACTCCTTGCGATCCTAGACATGCAATACAAAACACCAAACATAAATACATCATCATGCGGAACAACAAGGGTAATAAAGGCTTGTTTGTCGCTACTTAAAGTTTCTTGCCCTCGCAATCATCATGAATACATACATACATCACCGTACATACATACCGTAAAGTCGTGGATAAAAGCCGTAGGGCGTATAAGCATATAAGCCGCTTTCTGCATCAGGCTTTAGTGCAAACCAGGCTTGTATGCAAACCATGCTTATATGCACCACTGATATTATTGCCAGGCTTGTATGCACGTCGACACGCGTAGATCTACCATTGACTACCGGTATGGCGGCAGTTTTACTATGCACCGTACATAGCGCATGCACTCTTGACCTACCCGATCCGCGTTTGCATAGAAGCCAGGCTTCTACGCGCGACAGGCTTATAGGCATTTGACCCGTTTGATTTTCAGGCTTCTATCCTTATGTGCTTGTATGCAAACCCGGCTTTTATCCGCGACTTTACGGTACAGACATACTGACATCAAACAAGCAGAGATCAGAACATTGAAATTGGACGATAATTGCTTGTGAAATGCTATGTTCACTAGTAATCACTACTGATTGTTGAGTTCGGTGTATTTTCCTTCCTGGGACAGACAAACACTTACACACGGACATGGACAAAAGAACATGCACACTGATGCTCATTCACATTGCGTAGAGATGAGTGCACACAGACACAGACACACACACATACACGTACACGTGCACACACACACACACACACACACACACACAAACACACACACACAAACACACACACAAACACGTACACACACACACAAACACGTACACATACACAAACACACACACACACACAAACATACACACACACACACCAGTACAACACTCACCCTCCATCTGGCCCAAAGCTTCCAGAGTATCAACGCCAGAATTCCCAGTAGCAGCATCCCAATAATGATACCTATGATGATTGGCACATAGTTCACTGAAGTCGGACATGCTGCAGAGGACGAAGGCATACAGAAACACTAGGATTAGTAGCAATTCAGAGATGAAAGCGTTGTCTAACAGGCGATTCAGACTACGGCCAAAATCACGTCTCAACTTGAATTTCCATGGTGATGCAGCCCTGTTTCAAATGATTATGCACAATCGCCGATCAAACACATCTGATCGTAGAAACGTGGTCACAGTTGGCCGTAGTCTGAATCGCCCATAAAGAGTGTTTGTTTAGCAGTTTGTGCTTTGATAACAACTACCGTATTCCCGGCAGTAAAAGACGTACCTGAGCATAAGCCTCGCCCAGATGTATTGTTACAAAACACAGACATCTACCCTGTTTAATCACCGTTAATTTGATAATCGTGGTATAAGTCGCACCAATTTTTTGGGGTGAATAACTAATGTTATTCAGGAGGCTAATACTCCAGAAAATACAGTATGCCTCAAGAGATTGTGTGTTTACCAGTCTGCGCTGGGATAACAACAACAACAACAACAACAACAACAACAACAACAACAACAACAACAACAACAACAACAACAACAACAACAACAACATTGTTCAGTGGTAGAATGAGGTTGGTTGGTTTGATCAGGATTAGCAGCAATGCAGCGGTGATATCTACGTCTACAGAGAGTGGTTGATTGACGGTCTGTGAGTGTGAGTGTGAGTGTGCTGCTTCACTGCCCTGCATTGTCTGCTAAAGCATACTTCACTCAATCCTTGCTGCTGGCTATACACCTGCATAGCCTTACATCTTCAAGCAAAGCTCTCTCTCTCTCTCATGCTTACAGTTAAGAAACATGACAGGTGCGATCAAGTCGCGATCGGCCTAAGAACGGGATTCTTCTCTCGTCACACCCAGCAAGGATAATTCTTCTCTCGTCACACCCAGCAAGGATAATTCTTCTCTAGTCACACCCAGCAAGGATAATTCTTCTCTAGTCACACCCAGCAAGGATAATTCTTCTCTAGTCCTAGCCAGCAAGGGTAACTCACTGTTCTCTAGTCCTAGCCAGCAAGGGTAACTCACTGTTCTCTAGTCATAGCCAGCAAGGGTAACTCACTGTTCTCTAGTCATAGCCAGCAAGGGTAACTCACTGTTCTCTAGTCATAGTCAGCAAGGATAACTCACTGTTCTCTAGTCCTAGTCAGCAAGGGTAACTCACTGTTCTCTAGTCCTAGCCAGCAAGGGTAACTCACTGTTCTCTAGTCATAGCCAGCAAGGGTAACTCACTGTTCTCTAGTCATAGCCAGCAAGGGTAACTCACTATTCTCTAGTCCTAGCCAGCAAGGGTAACTCACTGTTCTCTAGTCATAGCCAGCAAGGGTAACTCACTATTCTCTAGTCCTAGCCAGCAAGGGTAACTCACTGTTCTCTAGTCATAGCCAGCAAGGGTAACTCACTATTCTCTAGTCCTAGCCAGCAAGGGTAACTCACTGTTCTCTAGTCATAGCCAGCAAGGGTAACTCACTATTCTCTAGTCCTAGCCAGCAAGGGTAACTCACTGTTCTCTAGTCATAGTCAGCAAGGGTAACTCACTATTCTCTAGTCCTAGCCAGCAAGGGTAACTCACTGTTCTCTAGTCATAGTCAGCAAGGGTAACTCACTATTCTCTAGTGATAGTCAGCAAGGGTAACTCACTGTTCTCTAGTCATAGTCAGCAAGGGTAACTCACTATTCTCTAGTCCTAGCCAGCAAGGGTAACTCACTGTTCTCTAGTCATAGCCAGCAAGGGTAACTCACTATTCTCTAGTCCTAGCCAGCAAGGGTAACTCACTGTTCTCTAGTCATAGCCAGCAAGGGTAACTCACTATTCTCTAGTCCTAGCCAGCAAGGGTAACTCACTGTTCTCTAGTCATAGTCAGCAAGGGTAACTCACTATTCTCTAGTCCTAGCCAGCAAGGGTAACTCACTGTTCTCTAGTCATAGTCAGCAAGGGTAACTCACTATTCTCTAGTGATAGTCAGCAAGGGTAACTCACTGTTCTCTAGTCCTAGCCAGCAAGGGTAACTCACTGTTCTCTAGTCATAGTCAGCAAGGGTAACTCACTGTTCTCTAGTGATAGTCAGCAAGGGTAACTCACTGTTCTCTAGTCCTAGCCAGCAAGGGTAACTCACTGTTCTCTAGTCATAGCCAGCAAGGGTAACTCACTGTTCTCTAGTCATAGCCAGCAAGGGTAACTCACTGTTCTCTAGTCATAGCCAGCAAGGGTAACTCACTGTTCTCTAGTGATAGTCAGCAAGGGTAACTCACTGTTCTCTAGTCCTAGCCAGCAAGGGTAACTCACTGTTCTCTAGTCCTAGCCAGCAAGGGTAACTCACTGTTCTCTAGTCCTAGTCAGCAAGGGTAACTCACTGTTCTCTAGTCACACCCAGCAAGGGTAACTCACTGTTCTCTAGTCACACCCAGCAAGGGTAACTCACTGTTCTCTAGTCCTAGCCAGCAAGGGTAACTCACTGTTCTCTAGTCCTAGCCAGCAAGGGTAACTCACTGTTCTCTAGTCCTAGTCAGCAAGGGTAACTCACTGTTCTCTAGTCACACCCAGCAAGGGTAACTCACTGTTCTCTAGTCATAGCCAGCAAGGGTAACTCACTGTTCTCTAGTCCTAGTCAGCAAGGGTAACTCACTATTCTCTAGTCATAGTCAGCAAGGGTAACTCACTATTCTCTAGTGATAGTCAGCAAGGGTAACTCACTGTTCTCTAGTCATAGTCAGCAAGGGTAACTCACTATTCTCTAGTCCTAGCCAGCAAGGGTAACTCACTGTTCTCTAGTCATAGCCAGCAAGGGTAACTCACTATTCTCTAGTCCTAGCCAGCAAGGGTAACTCACTGTTCTCTAGTCATAGCCAGCAAGGGTAACTCACTATTCTCTAGTCCTAGCCAGCAAGGGTAACTCACTGTTCTCTAGTCATAGTCAGCAAGGGTAACTCACTATTCTCTAGTCCTAGCCAGCAAGGGTAACTCACTGTTCTCTAGTCATAGTCAGCAAGGGTAACTCACTATTCTCTAGTGATAGTCAGCAAGGGTAACTCACTGTTCTCTAGTCCTAGCCAGCAAGGGTAACTCACTGTTCTCTAGTCATAGTCAGCAAGGGTAACTCACTGTTCTCTAGTGATAGTCAGCAAGGGTAACTCACTGTTCTCTAGTCCTAGCCAGCAAGGGTAACTCACTGTTCTCTAGTCATAGCCAGCAAGGGTAACTCACTGTTCTCTAGTCCTAGCCAGCAAGGGTAACTCACTGTTCTCTAGTCCTAGCCAGCAAGGGTAACTCACTGTTCTCATTGCGGTCAATATGAATCGGTAGCAAGTTTCCACTGTCGTCCTGTGCCGCGTAGTACCGCGAATCACACGTCTGCTGGCATGCTGTAGCGGCTTTGCCTGTACAGTAGAATAAACATGCGGTCAAGATGATTACGTTTCAGCCACGATTGTGCGGGCAGGGACAGAGATAGAGAAAGAGAATATTCTCCATTGTCTTTCATTCATTTTCCAGACAGGACAAGTCCACCCCAAGTGGAATCCCAATCATACATTATCATCCCTTCTTCACCGCTCACTATCAACAGTGTATGCTGTTGCATCACTAACACTAGCTGAACTATAATAATAACAACTTTATCAGGATGACCCAAAGGCAAATCGCCTATCGAGGGGTTCACCGCATTGAATGGTTGTGGTATGACAAAGCAAAGAGGCAACCATTGTGTGTGTGTGGGGGGGGGGGGGAGAGGGGGGGGGGGGAGTTTCGAACTATGCACAGTAAAGGGATAATTGTATGTACATGACCAAGGTTAGGGTATACCGGACACAGTTGCCATGTCAGGTGTACGTGATGTTGCTGCCTGCGCATGTCACTGTGGTGTGAAAAGCAGTCATCGTTATGTCCAGTTGTGTTTCCGTCGTCGTCATGTAATGAACAGTCTTCTCCAAATGTAGTTATTTCGTCTATTGTCCACTCATATGTGTGCAGATGGCACGGGGCTGGGAGCAGGAATGAAGAAAATCCAGTTACAACATGCTCACCATTAACAGCGTACCGTAGTATCTTGTATGAAAGCCTGTCTCCTATAGCAGCGTGTTTTGAAAACAAGCCTGATTTTCAAGACACACCGTCGGCACATACGAGTAAGCCTGGCTTTATTGTTGACATACTTAGAAATGCCTGTCTCACGCAGAAGACCGCATAATTTCCCCCGAAAGTCATATATGCCATGGCTTTTATACACGACTTTGCGGTATCCTGTACGCTCACAAACACTTACCATCAATCGTGTACCCTGTTCCAGTGTTCACATCAGTGGCGTCCTGGCGCAGTTGCTCATTGCAAGGAGCGCACCGGTCCTCGGCGTCGCGTGTTTCGCATTCGATGCACGGTTGGGCGCGAGTGCAGATGTCTGTACAGCCCTGCTCCATTCAAACACACACGCACATTCACGCACACACACACACACACACACAAACACACACATTCATGCACACGCGCACATTCACGCACACACACACACATTCACCCACACACACAAAGGCGTACACTCACATTCACGCACACATGCAGATACGTACACGCATACAGACACACAGGCGCGGAAACAGAAACAGACACATATCATACACACCCAGTTTAATGATGGTCTAAGATCGAAACATCGAAAAGTGAATAATATTTTGAATTCAGAAAGTGGTGAACATCACGCAACTGCATTGTTAATAAAAGGCGGTTTGTCAACTGACAATTTTTATTTATACATACACTCTTGATTGCTTTCGTCATAAAAGGCCAGGTTCGCCCCTTGTAAACTGTTCTGACGATGGGTGACTGGCCCGAAACGTCAATAATGTTTTCGACATTACTAATAAAAGAATTTTCATCCAGCGCATGCGCCAAGAGTGAATAGCAACAAAATAGAGCGGTTGCCAGTTGACAAGCCCCTTTTATCAACTATTTGAATTGACGTACGCACACACACACACACACACACACACACACACACACACACACACACGCACACACACACACACGCGCGCGCGCACACGCATGTGCGCAGAATTCAGAGAAGCCGATGAAAAGCTGCACTCACATCTTGTCTGGTGCAAACTTGACAATATCTTCCGAAAAATCCATTCTTGCAGTTACACTCGCCGCACTCACAAACTCCTTCACCTGAGCATACACGCTGTCACGGGATAGGAAAGAGATGAACAACACGGGAAAATAAATTAAATACGTCAGTCAACAACAGGTTAAAAAATGCTCCTGCCTGAGGGGGGGGGGGGGGGGGATTGCAACTGAACCGATAAGTTGCAAGTTGACACAGGACTTCTCTCACACAAACTAGGAGCAAGGAGATCACGTGGTCCCTCTCTCATCCAGCACTTTATAAACCAGCACCCTCGATAAACCAGCACGATTTTCAGTAGCCAAAATGTCCTCTTCATGCACATTGCAGCAGTAAGTCCGATTTGTTAATCCAGCACCCTCCCTAATCCAGCAGATTACCGTTGCACAAATGGTGCTGGATTATAGAGGGACCACTGTATTACTAAGTACCATGTATACAGTCTCACACAGCTATACGCCACTACTCAAAAACGGTCTCTCGGCTACAAATTTTTCCAAAAATAATAAAACCGAAATTTTCTTTCTGAAATCCTGAATTGGATTTTATTATTTTTGGAAGAATTTGTAGCCGAGAGACCGTTTTTGGGTAGTGGTGTATAACTGTGTGAAACATGAACTGTGGCTACAGTGGAGTCTGCACACCCTCAGGAAGATGTATACAGTTAACTTTGCTAATAACGATAATTCGCGAATAACGACAGAATTTCCATGCCCAGAGCAAAGTCCCATCTAACTGTAATACATAATATTGAGATGTTGGGTATAAGGACACTTCGCGAATAAGGACACTTTTCTGATGCCCGGCCGAGTGTCGTTATAGTAATATACGCAAAGTTGACCGTATAGGATATCGAGGTTTCACTGATGACGTAATCTTAGCTACTGTCCTGGACATGGAAATCCAGTCGACTGACCGGGGCCAGCGCCCTCATCGCGTACAGAACGTTGCACGCAGTGCACATGTTGATCCGATGCGACCATCGCGCTGCAGCGCATAAATGCACGTGTGCACCGCTTATCCGCGGCTGCATGGCCAGCGCCCTGGGTCCGCTAGACGTGCGACCGGATTTCCATGTCCACGACAGTAGGATGATAGTGCGCATACAGAATGATGGGACGGGGCATATCGCCCTAATATGGATGTATGTAGATACAAGTATGTGTGCCATTTGTGCATTGATGACCTCTAACAGTACCTGATTGGCCATTGTTGCCAAGAATTCCATAGGATATCACACCCGAGGAATATTACAGAGAAAAAGCCGTACTGGATAAGAGCAACGGATCGCGACATCGACACTGAAACGAGTTTGCCAAGTCGTCGACAATGTGTGAGTTCCCAGTTGGATCAAGAGTGGCACTGATCAAGACGCCATGTTACTATGACAATACCACAGGGGCGTGGCAGCCAGTCCGGCCGCTCCAGCTTTGGCCGGATCACTTTTTTTAACACAATGCCAAAAGGGCCCAGAATCCAGGATTTTGCACCCTGATTTCAAAATTTTCCGGGGGGGGGGGGGGGGACCTCACGGACCCCTCCAGCCGGACCACCTACAACGGCGGTGTTACGCGCCTGCTTGACTAGGTCACACTCACGTCATCTCCCTCTTGCTTGCAGGTGTCCTGGGAGAGCGGGCACTCACAGCTGGTTCCGTTGTAACCGGGCAGGCACTCGCACTGGCCGCACGACACTCCGCTGCACTCGCAATTGCCGCGCGTCGGTCCGCCGCAGATCTTGCCCTCGTGCGTCGGGCAGCTCTGGTCATCGCACTCGCAGAACTCACCGCAAATCTTGATCCCCTCCTCCTGCAATGAAACCACCATGAACAGCAACAATGGAGAGGTGAGAAGCTTCACTTCATCTCTTCTTCTATCGCCATGGCAATATTGGGCATCAATGCCCGTTCGGTTTGTGATGTAAAATAAAACTTCTAAAAAACAAGCAAACAGCAATAGAATACAAGCTTATTGCCATGCAGTGGAATGTGCCAGTACACCTTGTTCCGTTTGGTGATAAACTGTGCCCGTCTGACTGTTGAAGATCTCGTCTAGTTGGTGAACTCTAAGGAATAACTCGTGCCCCACTGTCTTCCATGTTTGTCATTTCACTACTAGTATCTCCTTTTGCCATTGTCCTCTTGGTTTGATGAGCTCTGCTCTATCCTACTGGCCAGGACGGAGTGCTTGAAGCACACTCTGCTTAGCTGTTCGGCAAAGCACAACCACACACGCGTGCTGGCCTACCTGGTTGCACACGCACTTCATGCATTCGCACGTGCCACGTCCGTTGCAGATCTGATTGTCGGCCGTCATGCAAGGCTGAGTACCGAGAGTCTCGTTGCAGTTGCACTGTCCTCCACTGACGCTGCAGCGCAACATAACACACAATAACACACCAAACAGACACATGTGTTACACAATACAAGTGAACCAGAACATTGAAATACATGAGGACAGCCACATATGCATACACAGGCACATGTTTGGTGGCATGCGTATGCACATACACACTCACACACACACACATGCACGCACACACACACACACACACACACACACACACACACACACGCACACAGACACACACAGACACACACACACACTCACACATACACACACACACACAAATACAGTGTTCATGCGTGTGTGCATGTATGTTTGTGTGCAGGGATATACTGGCGTATTTTCCTACCTGCGGTATCCGGGATAACAATTACAACTTCCACAAGTCTCGTTACCAGCATTGCTACAGTATTGAGCATCAGGATCCTGCAGAGAGACACGACCAACATAAAGACAAAGTTTCTAATGCCTCACATGAGAAGCCGGCGAGCACAGCTCTCACACACTCTATCCTCTGCTGTACGGAATGCTTTTTCCAATTATCTGCGCACTGGTAGTAGTTCAACACACATGCTAGTGCACCAATCGTAAAACTTCTTGGAAGGTTGGGAAGAGGTGATACTGAGTGCCTTATTTCACAGCTCTACCTGTACCACACAGGTTACAAGACAAATCTCAGTAGTAAACGATCAAAATCCCCTGACGCCTGAAACGCGTACATTCACGTCCGGATAGTAGAAAATACTCGTCAGAAGACAACAATTTTGAAACCTTGGGGCTGTCTACAAACGAGGGCAGACCTGCAGTGCTTACCACGTGATTCTCGCACGGACAGGAGCAGAGAGACTCGATCTCGATGGTGACGTCGTCGAAGCCCTGCACTCGCATCACAACCTCGCCTATGCTGTTCAGCTTCTCACACGTCGTGCCCGTCAGTGTGACTGTGAACTCAGCCTGGACAGACGGACGGACAGATAGACAGACAGACAGACGGACAGATAGACAAACAGACAGACAGACGGACAGGCAGACAGATGGACAGACAGACAGACAGAGAGACAAACAGACAGGCAGGCGAACAGAGAGACAGACGGACAGACAGACAGACAAACAGACGCACAGACAGACACACCGATACACAGACAGACAGACCAGCAGACAGGCACGGACATACAAGACAAAAGAATGAGGGTAGATAGAGTATCAAATCATTCCCGGATATAAGCTATTGACACCTGACAGCATCTTCAAAAACATATCAGTAGCCATCACCAGTAACACTGCCAAGCATCAGTAGCCATCACCAGTAACACTGCCCAGCATCAGTTAGAAATTATGTATCCACAAGCTCCGGTGGTTTTGACTATCTAGAGAGGAAGAAAATCTACGAGCAGCAACACCACCCAGGCGCGTGCCCCGTATGGGTTCCTGGGCCCCCTTTTTCGCTCAAAATGCAGGATTTTGCTTCATTTTTTGAAAATTGTCCCGGCGGAGGCCCCCGGAACCCCCCTTGAAGGGCACCGGTGCATGTGTAGCGGGCCGCAGTCTCTCGGAGGCAAGAACGCACAAGGGTCTCAGTGAACACACTGTAATTGGCAATTGAAATGTACTGGCAACGAAATTAACTGATTGGCAACTAAATTAACTAACTGGCTATAAAAGAATCGTGCGCAGCAGCTTTGATACAAAGGCAGACTCCGTACGCTAATGTACGGGGATACAGTACGGGGATATGCTATACTCTAAACACTATACGCTTTGAAGTCCCCAGCGTGCCAACGCTACACATGCGCCTGCCACCACGGCCAACAGCATATTTAGTAGCAGCACCTCCAGCTGCACCACCAAAGCAAGCATCAACAGCAGCTGTAATAGTAGCACTGTGTGCGTCACTTACTTGTACACTGGTGGACATGTTTCTGCACAACGGCAGCTTGTGTGGACCAATCTCCATCGGTGTGCTGTAAACAGAGACCGCAGTCACAGAACTTAGTACATATCACCGTGACCTTCATCTCGAAGCCACACCCTGCCTTGCCCAGGCAAAACCTCAGGGCTACTTTGATAAAAGCTTTACTAGCACCATTGCTTACATGCATACAGGCACTCACACACACACACACACACACACACGCACACACGCACTTACACTGGGCACGTGGCAGTTGCGGATATGGTAACGCCACCATTGTGCGGTAGTGCCGTCAAGTTGGTGACACTGATTTGACGCTGAACATAGAACGCATGCAAAAACACACAAACACATACACGGACACGCAGACACATACACGGACACGCAGACACATACACGGACACGCAGACACATACACGGACACACAGACACATACACACGTAGCAAAGTGATTGAGTCGGAATGTCACCCAAGACGCACACATTTCTCCCATGCCTGCAAAATCGGCAGTGTGTAGGATCCAGCTGTCTCTTTCCTACGCCGGTGTACATTAGTGTTTGCGTGAATATGCTTCTTTTAGCGAGGCTTTTTGAGAAAGGCCAACACATGTGGAAGAACCTTCTGCCCCCCCCCCCCCCCCCCACATACCACACACACAAAACACTGATAAGACAAACTATCGGTTTAGATGAACTAGTATTCATACTCTATTGGAAAAATCATTGTGTATCCACAGTGTACAAGATGTGGTAAGAAGAATTCTTGCACAAGATTATGGATAAGAAGAACTCTCGTTATTGCGAACAAATACCATCCTCCCATTGGTGTGCGTCCTAAAAAGGTTTGACTGTAACGGGAAGGTTAGGAAATTATAGGCACGAAATGCTGACCAACTGCGTTCATACTTACAGCCAGCTCCTCGCGCAAGATGGTGACGGCGTTCTGTGAGTCTGAACTCAGCACTAGCACAGAGGATCCAGGCAGGCGCTCAGACAGGGCCTATTGCACGAGCACAAATCACAACCACACATACAGTCAACTTCGCTTATAACGACTGCGGATACTATCCTCACTAAGTGTGCTCCTGCGTCTGTTGTCTGGGTCCATGTCGGCATGTCGGTGTATGTGGAGCGAGAACGACAGAATTTCCATACCCAGAGTGAAGTCCCATCTAACTGTAATACATAAAATGAGACTTTGGGTATAAGGACACCTCGCGAACTTTGCTGATGCCCCACCGAGTGTCGTTATACGCAAAGTTGACTGTATACAAGGACGATAGAAACTTAACATGGTTTCCATGCACTGGGGGTCGTCTTATCCTCGGTCATTTAACTAGGAATAACATCCCTTGGTTTACATCGTAGCGGTCTTCTGAGGCAGGTGGTCCCCTTATCAGAGTGCTCACCTTGGCAGGTTCTACTATCCACTCAGATCTATCAGCCGATAGGTTACATTTGGTTCATACAATGCTAGAATTAACGTGCCGCGTTGTCCTCCTAAATAGCCAGACACTTGCCAGCAAACTCACAGCATTCAGCCCATTTGACTGTAAAATGCACAAGTCATTCACACATCACACAAAGCTGAAATCCTGAAGTGCAACTTCAGACAATACCCCCTACCCCACCAACCACCCACCCGCCCAGACACATACCCCCCCCCCCCCACACACACACACAACCACCCGCCCTTCGACATGCCCGCACACATGCAACATGCAACCCCCACCCTCCCTCCCACACACAAACACACCATGTGAATGACTCAAACTACACCCAACGCAGAAAGCATGACTGGCAGCATCTCCTACCAACATACCCTATACATCGGCACTGCAAACTCGGTGACGGCGAAGATTGTGATAACGCGATTCTCCTCCAGCACCTTACGCACCAGAGCAATAGAGGGATAGTCCTGCATAGCAGAATACAACAGCAACAACAACAACAACAACAATAACAACAACAACAACAACATCATAAATTTATCTCTTATTGGCGATGGTGCCATCGTGAGAATAAAGAATTCAAACAAACAACAACAACAACAACAACAACAACAAAAAACAACACAGGCCATCGTGAGAATATAAGATTTCAAACAACCAGACATAGCACACAAAATTTAATAATTAATATTCCCCAGACAGTATCCTCTTGAATTAAAATCTTTTCATTTTCTTTCTTCTTTTTTTCTTTTTCAACTTGATTCTCCCTACCCCGTCTCCCTTTAGTGCGCCCATGGAGCTATGAAGCCGAGACCTCTGGTCGGCGGAGCTTATTGGGCCCCACCACCACACCCCAATATTCACCCCAGTGTCCGGAGATGTGGATTTTGTAGAAAAAAAAAGAAAAGAAAAATTCCCAAATTGCAATGAATAGAAGGTCAAGAGCAAGAAAGATTATAGTGATAATAATAATTCGCGGGATTAGCGTTGGCATCGCTTGAATGTTCAGAAACACACAAACTAGCCTTCGCTTCCGCAGGCCACCACTATGCCTATGCCTTGTACACCTTAGTGGCAAATGCAGACCTCACAAGTGAGTCAGCGGAGAGTAGGTGAGTCTCTCAACCAATCGGGCGTGTAACGGCCCATAACCCGGAGATTATACAAGAGGGATATGTACAAAGAGGTGAGTATAATTTGAAGGAGACTGGCAACTTACCAGCGTCCTGGAGGCATTCTCCGAGTAGGTAGTGCTGTCCACGAGATGACAACGGCCATCGTGGGGGCGTATGATACCGGCCAGCTGCAGAGACAATACGTGTAGAGCATTACCACACAGGCAGAAGAGAACAGAGACAACCGGCTAGGTCATTGTTGTAACGCTGCGCTTCATGCACATAGCAAAGCTAAGGCAATCCTCAGACAACTGATACTCTGTACATCATCTGCCTACAAACTTACACCCAGCATTACAGCATTACGCAGAGATAAGAGGAAGGGTTAGCTTCCAAATCTCCACTGAGTCTCATACTACCAACGCAATGGTGGGTGGGAGATGATATACTACAATAATGATCTTTTACTTGTTCCCCCCCCCCCCCTCCCCCCCGGCTGGGATGCTGCATTCTGCAGGATCATGTAGTAACCAGTGTGAGGAAGCATGAGGCCCAGTATTTCCTAGTACAATACTCAATAACTACCCTCTTAGCATTAGCCGGTTACTATACAGGCCTGGGAGCGAGGAAATTCTGTCTGATGACCATCCAATGCCTGAAGCAAGCACTGGCCTAGAAGCCCAGTGTTGGTGGATGGCCATCAACACAGGGCCTGGTTTCGTGTTGCCAACAGCTTGACATCACAAGTGGAATATGAATACTTGGGTGTACTTGATTTGTGTCGAAGCATGATCTGGCCTTCACATGAGCTTTGGTAGAGCCTAGTTCCTTTGCTAACTTGTGTTGAGTTTTAACTTTTAAACGTTCTGGCTTGGGATATCATTGAGGTAGTGGTGGTGATGGAGTCCAGGAGAGAGTGTGTGGATGGTGGAAGTATGAGGGCAGCTATACAAACAACAAATAACAAAAGCTAGATGGTGGAGTATCGCTGGCTTTCACCAAGAGTCCCTGGTTCGAGTCCTGGCGGTGGAAGACTTCTTTTCTTGAGGGTTTCCTTTTCCCTCAAACTGGTCAATGACCAAGTGATTGATGTGCATATTGTCCACGAAAGAACGTAGAAAGAATGGACAAAAACAGCATGAACACATGGAGAACACAGATGGCAGACATGGCCGGAGCTAATGCCCCTCGGGCAACTCACCCTGCCTTCTCCCGCAATGTGATAGCCAGCGTCAGAAGCCACCACCACCACCTTTCGGGATTTCTGCTGCCAGCCAACAGCCTGCAAAAAGACACAGCAATGATGCACAGACATACAAAATCAATTATCACTGCTGATCGACAAGGCTTCCAAAAAATCACGGTTCGTATGAGACTCAGCTGGAAGCCGAAGTTTCCGCAGGGATTTTCAGTCTTTGACCACTTTGGTGGGTCTGATCTACCCACCTCCCACCGCTTTAGGAGCTGCATCTGCGCCTTGATTCATAGAGGGTGATGGAACAAGGTTTCGATAGTTATGATATTTATGCAGCATTGTGCATACAATATAATGGCTACATGGTCGTCAAGCCACAGTGTAACAATCTTATGGGTACAAGAACTGATCAAAAATTCAGATTTCGCATGGTAAACTGTTGAAAGTTACTTGAAACAGTGGCCAGAACCTGGTTTTCATGAGATATCGTCAGTGATTTGGCACAAAACCAGCGTGAACATTTCTCGGAATGAGTTGAGAATGTAAAGGTGGAAATATGCATTACCATAACAACCTGCGGTGCTTCAAACACATTTTTCTCAACAAAAATATTCAATCTCTGGACTGCTAGCTCGTTCGACCTTGCTAGGCCTCATCAGTGGAGCTCAGAGTGTGGCCAAAGCGAAAACAAATTGATACGCATTTCCCATTCCTGCCCCAAACCTACCGAATCACAGGTCGCTGCTTGTACTAATGCAGTCAATGAGTCCTCAGGGTCATCAATGTTAGCTGATACTTGTACAGTATCCAGTCGTCGCTAAGAACACACACACACACACAGGTACATAGTTACACATGCACAGATACAGACACACACACACACACACACACACACACACACACACACACACGCACGCACGCACCCCGTCCCCCCCCCCCCCACACACACACGCAACCCCGTCCCCCCCCCCCACACACACACACATGCATGCATGCACTCACAAACGCCAGACAACAGCTAGGGTTATCAAAGTCAGTTTTGGGATGATGTCGATACAGTACACACCCAGAACAACAATTCACAAGAAAATCATGAAAGCGATGGCCGTGGCTTACCGTAAACTCCAACCTGTCCTTTGTGAGTGGTACGACATTGCGGAAAGAGTAAGGCAAGGAGCAGTTGGTACATGGTATGAGAGCTCTGAACGGTGTTGTGGAGAGGCGGAGAGAGAGAGAGAGAGAGAGAGAGAGAGAGAGAGAGAGAGAGAGAGAGAGAGATAGAGAGAGAGAGACAGAGACAGAGACAGAGACAGACAAAGAGAGGCAGAAAAAAAAACACAGAAAAGCCAGCGCGTAAAAGGCGGTGAATGCAGAAATCCAATGAAATTCCATGAATAAATCTGCACCCTGAAATACCGCACAACCCAGTGAAGCCCGGGCTGAAACAGTGCACAGCACAGTCTTCCAACTCCTGTACATACACAGCCTCGCTAAAATAGCGCACAGCACAGTCTTCAAACTCCTGGAGACACACAGCCTCAACGTGACCGACGATGCACTAAGTGACTCGATCATCTTCTCCCGGAGAGCAGAACTATAATTATAGCCGCAGCATTTGGTGCATGATAACTCAAACTGCCAGCAGTAGCCGAACACTAGTATTGTCTGAGGTCAGCGAACATAAAGTTACTCACAGAGGTCCCCGTGCGATGGAATACGGCTCGACGGGCTTCTCGACGAACGACCCAAAGCCGAGATAGGAATTGGTACTGACGCCGTTCAGTGCGTCCGCTACATGCATACACACGGACAGACAGACAGATAGAGAGGCAGATACGCAGAGAGACGGACAGGCAGACATAGACAGATAGAGAGACAGGCAGACACGTAGACCGACACACAGACAGAAAAAATTTAAAAAAGTGACTGGACCCTTGCACAGAATAACAGAGGTGTTTTATGACAGAGTTGACATTTCAATCATACTGGTCTTATTGAGAAAGAATGGGCAGGTTGAAACAGGTATACAGTAAAACCTGTAATGGCGACCACTCGGATACGGCAACCACTCGGCCATGGCGACCACTTTTCCTCGTCACGGACGCATTCACATTCACATTCAAAACCAGTTCGGATAAGGCGACCACTCGCTCAACGCGACCAACGACCACCCGCCCGCGACCGCGCTACACCCTACGAAGTCATTGTACATGCACGCATTTCAATATGCATCACACATGGTAGATCTACACATTAGCGCAGGAAGTGTAGATGTACATGGTGCATGTATGACACTTGACCAGTCTGAGTCCCTCAGGCACATGATTCGTGATAGTAGCATAGGTGTGTGTGCAGTGTGATGCACTAATCAATGTGATATTATATTGCATGTACAATTGTACATGTATAGTGAATATGTTCACGTGACCCACTGAACCTGTCTAAGAAGACCACCTGGTCAAGGTGACCACTTTTTCTCGTCTCTTGAGGGATCGTCTTAGACAGGATTCACTGCATTGTCAAACATCTACTCACCGTACCGTGGCTGCTAAGGAAAGAAAATCTAAGATAGAATCCTGTATACGCAGAAATATTCGTCTCAAATTTAATTTCGTCTTTTTCGTCCAAGGAGCTTTTGGTCTAAAATAAATGCCGGACTAATGTCGATTTGTCCAGCTTTTCAATACACTCTTATGGCCCATGGACTAATTTCTCAACCGGACGAACTTCCATTCTTTAGAGTTGGACGAAATTATTGACCGACTAAGTTTTCTGCCTGTACAGCACCGTGCAAACAAAGACAAACACATGAAATGGAAAAAAGTTGGCTCATTGTACTTCTAAAATTTTGTCTAGCCATTATTAGTACCTACCCAACGAGACACTCTGACTTCTCAGTGTGCCCAAATCGTCGAACATTGAGGCGCTCAGGTCCATCAAGTAGTAAACATCGAGCGGATAATTCGGAGCGGGTCTCACGTTAAACGTCACCGACTCACTGGCACCTGCAAACGTGCACACATACACAAACGCAGGCACACACACACACACACACACACACACACACACACAAACACACACGCAGGCACACACACACACACACACACACACACACACATACACAAGCACACACACACACACACATACACATAAGCACAACACCAGTCAGAAGGCTGTCCACTCTTCAGGGGAGTTTCCCCTCAGTATTCTGGTAATGCGTATTCACAGGTAGTGCAGAATCAGTTTGCTTACCGGGACGAAGCCGTACCCGAAACCGCCGAGGGCTGACTTGCACAAACTCACTCAGTGCTTCCACCTAACGTGAAAAGAAACCAGCGGAGAAGACGATTAAAACATGCATAGAATGGACAATGGCATCTCCACAACTTGCACCATATACATGTATCCAGAACGTGAGGAAGCCCGCTTAGCATCTACGGCATGCATTGCTTTGCGACTGGTCAGTTTTGCTGGCACGTTACAATACTAGCAGTCAGGTCTACAGATCCTTGCTTTGTGCTATAAATGCTTTTTTCATTGCTTGTGCTTGGCTTATATTCTAAATATAAGCCTGCAAACGAAGAGTTGAGCACGTAAGGTTACTAACCTCCCAACACCTACTCCCCCCCCCCCGTGCGGAGAGGCATCGCTCACACCCCAGCATGTCAACATCCCCATGCCCTCAACCCCACCATCAAGTGAATACTGTAGTAGTCATACAGTCTACTGACCGGTTGAACTGGAGCATTCGAAGTCTGTGGATTCTGCAGATCTGGATTTCCAGTCTGTGTGTCGACTGTGGAACACGGTTGTGCCGACCCGGCCGCCCATCTTGCTGCCGTCATGCAACGTACTGTGTAGTTCACCTGCGTGTGTACGCGTTGGTACACAAACACGCATGCATACACACATACACACACATACACACACACACACACACACACACACACACACACACACACAATCAGAAAAGACGTTGACACACAAACTGCTGAAATTCAATTGCTAGTGGTGGACAGAAAATCAGCTCACGGGGCGGAAGTGATTCAAAGTTAGTTTCCACAGTAGGGAGCCATGTATTCACAAAGCACAGTCCTCTTCCCCTATCACTCCCCAAAGTCAATGAATGAATACAGGAACATAGTGCCAAAGACATACCGGAGCAGCACACCATGCGCAGTCAGGCCCGCTATCTACGCATTCGGAACACGTCGTTGCTTGTTCGTTACACGCTAATTGTCCTGCACGGAACACAAACAAAAGCAAAAGAAATGCATTGTTGTACAAGCGGCAACACACAAGCAAAACATTCACTCATGTGCGCAGACAAACATTGTGCATACATAAACATACACACACATACACAAACACACACAATTTTTACTAAAAGCCATGTGGTGCACGCAATGGGAACATGCAGCAGCCATGGTGGTGGAGGCCAGCACACACACGCACGCACACACACGCACACACACACACACACACACACACACACACACACACACACACACCTAAACACATACAGATACTTGGGTGCTGAAAGTGAAAGCTCCATTGCTAGTATGCTGTCCAGGAACACATGTCATAAACTGCAAAGTGTACTACACGCTACATAGAATGTCATGCAGATGGTGTCATTGCCCATGAGCCATCAATGAATAACTATAATTATCAGCACTTGTACAACTGTAGATCTGCTGTGTGCAAGGTAGAGAAAGAGAACCTCCACTGATCGCATCATGCACTGACGGCGTAATGCTTATCCACCATCACTGACTCACTGTCCCTTGATGAAAACATGCACACTATCCCAAGGGACTGGATTCGAGTACAATCACTTGTTGCATGGGGCCATCCATTGCATGTTATTGGATACGTTCACAAAATTTGCAAAATCCTGCATAACAATGCTGTGACACAGGAAGTTCTGGAAAATTGTATTGCCCGCAACTGTACATGTAGAGTACAATTTCCTTGGAGACAAGTATGCAATGATACTTAGAAGTAGGACACACTTCAGGCTATTGACCATAGCATAACTGTATGAGTACTGATACGTTTGTACTTCGAAAGAATGGTATTCGAAGTAAATTGACTGTCTAGAGACCATCATTCTGGTAGGTGTTTGCAAGTAGCCGAGGTGCGTGATAACGCATTCGGGGAATGAAATATCACACACACACACACACACACACACAATTCACGCAGACTGTGGTCAAGCTCAGAACGATGTAGAACGATGCGAGATCTTTTCCTGTGCTTTTACACAATGCATTGAAGCACTACGACTCGTATCATGTGTGACCAGATTGTTCATATCTCGGGTCGGGAGTGTTAGATGTTGCACTGGGCTTCTAGCCGTGCTGTCCGCAAGAATGCAAGAATGCAAGTCGCCGCAGGATTTCGATTCTTGCTACTCGAGACTACAGTACAGGAGATGGACTACGCCATGGTGAAGTATTGACAGCTCTCAGCTAGCTGTGTGCCACATGCAGTGCGGAGCGACAATTCGACATTTTTCGCTCAGGGAACTACGGTGTTTTGGCGTTAGTTGCATCGCATCTACCAACAATCTCATAGCGGGTGGTGAATTATTAGCAAATCTAAAATGCACCTAATTGGAAAGCGGCGAACCTAGGAACATATTCGTGAGCCACTTGAAAACACAAAATCTCGCTTCATGATCTGAGGCGACCGAGTAAACACAATCGCGTGCAGTAATCAAAATCTCATTCTAGCGGTCGCATACGAGCTTCTCACCTTCTGTTCTGCTCACGAGCAGGGCCAGGATGCCTGCGAGTAGCGTGATGCGTGCTGGTGGTAACCGTGCCACTGCCATTACGGCCACGCACCGTACAGTGCCCCCCACGCGTTCTCTCTGCTGCCAGACAAAACTGGCCCAGTCACACCGAGGATCTGCCCTAACTGCAGCCCCGAGCCCTACCACCAGTCGCAACGTCACCTCCGACGATCGGATGGTTGGAAGAAAGTCTGGCACTTCAAATAATGATTAGAATGGACTCGCTGATGACTACGATTTTCAACGTCGCGAACAGATGCAAGAAATACTTGGAGATATTTTCGGTTCGTATAAGTATTGCTGTTCATTTGGCGATTGTGCCTTCGCCCTCGGCTGCTCCGATGCTTATTCGATAGTCGTCAGCTCGCCCGTTGAAGTAAGAGTATTGAATAAAAGTAGCAGTACCTCCGCTGCCGCGATGGGTAGATTTCTACTGGCTGGATGAGGGTAGGGCAGCCTGCTCGGAAGTCAAACCGGTGCTGTGTGTAAGCGTGGTCAACCAGCCGATCGACTAGCGCCCAGGTCGCCTGTACTGCAGTACACGAATCTAGCGTACACCCTACCAGCTGGGGAGTTTTCATCAGCTCTCAAATACTCGTAGTACACGCTTTACGCGTAGATGTACACAGGCAGCGGGCGTGAGCTGCTCGCGGGAGACTTGAAGTCCTTCTACAGACTCAAGCGTTGCGACTGTGAGTATCGGACCTGCTTGACCGACCCAGGCTGGTGACTTGCCTCCAGCAGGGACTCACAGTCTGTGTTATGTGTGATCACGAAGGAATGCATCTCGTGTGGGTAGCGTAGTGCCAGTGGCATGATCTGGATATACGCTCACGCACGTGTCTGTCACCTCTTTGCTCGCGTCGATCATCATGCATGCCAGATCAGAGAGCTAGAGAGAGAGAGAAAGAGAGAGAGATAACTGACATTTGCCATGTCTTGTTGACTGTTCTTTTCACTGTTGTCGTGTTCAGACAACCAGTGGCGGAGTGTTGCTGACCTGTCGGTAATGACTGTAGCCTGTCAACTAGCTATGCCCTACATGCAGTAATAGTACGCGTGGAACTTGGAAGAGGGCGACTTCGCTGGGTGGGTGCGAGACTTGATCGGACGGATTGCTGACCGACAGCTATTTTTTTGCGTTCACCTGACGTTTAAACGTTTGTGTGCAGTCGCTATGGACATTCTCTTCCGACACGGACTGAAAAGACAAGACACGACTCGCAGGATACCAGCAAGCAGTGTCCATGGTGTCAGAAACACAATCGCTGAATGCAGCTGAATACTGTCTTGGATTTAGTTGCACGCGCCAACGCCATGTCGATCGACACACAATCATTATGACACATATCATGACATCGACCAGAGACAGACTCAGTGTGCGAATAATAATACCATGCACCATGACATGTGCATAAAAAATCAATGAGCTGTCGCGAGGAAGCTACGGAGAGTAATCGCCTCTATAGATCTAGCCAACCTGCTTACTTTACTTTACACTAATATAGCCGCAAAATGGTTTGTCTTCTGTACTGTCACACACTATCCCGCCACATAAACCGGCTATTCACCCACCACCAGGAAACTGGACGAAAGCAGCGGTGTGTTCTTTGAACAAGCTCTCTTTTCAAAGACTTCTACTACTACTTACTACTACACACTATTATTATTTGTACAAGGCGAACAATGAATGCGTGATGGAGATTTACACCTCACGAGCTATGTCAAACACGTGGGCACACAGTGGCAGTGCATGCAAACAATCCAGGAGGACTCCATAAAAAGCACTCCAGTCTTCTTGTCAACAATCCATTCATTACGGATTTGGCTGAAGCTGGAGAAGACATTCCGCTGAGAACGACTTACAATGACATTATGTACGTCATTGAAAGCGGGAAGAACTGGGACGGAACATTGCCTGAAGTTTCAGAGTCAAAATGCCTTCAGTTGTCAACCATCAACCATAGCCTCATGACATCTCAATGCACCTCTCTATTTTAGAAAGGCGTACCTGTCATCTAACTAAGCATATTCTTGGTCCTCTTTTTCTTGGCTTCTAAATAATTCCGGTGCCTGGCACAAAGGGCTGTATGACCACCCACTGTACCCCCGCGGCCCGCCCGATACGCAAGACCTGGATTGGCATTCCTATGATTCCATTGAGTATGGGGCCAATTGGATACTGGTAAGTGGTATCAGGCAATAACTGGTGGACTGAGTGGGTGGAGAAAATGGTGTGTGTGTGTGTGTGTGTGTGTGTGTGTGTGTGTGTGTGTGTGTGTGTGTGTGTGTGTGTGTGTGTGTGTGTGTGTGTGTGTGTGTGTGTGTGTGTGTGTTCGATCATATTCAGTGTCTGCTCAGCCCACGCCCCAGCACCAGAGAACGCCGGTCAAGTCTACATGTACAATGTACATTATAAAAGTCAATGTTATGTCCGTCAGGTCAATGGTCATCTTGACCAGTGATATCAACAAAAGAAAACACCATTAGATTTTAATGGTGTTTTCTTCAAATGAATATTCCCTCGAATACTGCTTTAGAGAACGAACGAATAATCAATATTCTTCTGATCCTGCTCAGTCACTTCACTCAATCATTAGAAATGTAACTGTAAGTGTAACTAAACTCTCAGCCCCATGTGAAATAGGAACAGTGCTGTTCAATGAAGGACTTTTTGGTTACTACTAGTACGTTGGTCCTGTCGCAATTTCGAGATGTGTGAATTTTTTTGCTAAAATTAATTAATACAAGTCATGCACATGCATGTACGACATGTACACAGTACACTGTACAATCATGACTGATTGTACAGTGTACTGTGTACATGATAATACTCAGTAGTGGTGTAGTTGCGTGTTTACACTGAGTGAGAGAGACAACAAAATCAAAATTTTAATCATGGCATGCTTTGTTGCACACCTACCCCTGGCTCCCTGAGCCTTTCACAATGTTAGGTACATTGTTAGATTGACAGGATGAAACAAAGTGGAGGACACTGTGTTCGAAAACAGTGACCTTACTACAACCTTCCGCGGTTGGCAGAGCCCCGGTCCCTGCGGACCATTAAAATTAATCATTTGAACTACATGTACAACAAGGTTAAATTAAATGCTGGTTTACCAGTGTTGGATTCTATCATATCATGGTACATGTACTGTGTACATGATGATTGTACACCGTACTTGGCGCCCGCTGAGCGCTGATTGGATGCTCCGCAGTGCTCCTTCCAGTGGTGTAAAAATGTTGCAGGGGTTTGTGATAATGGATACGATAATGTTCAGACATTCAGTGCTGGTGTGTCGCAGCGTGACGTCCAACCACACGTGCAGGAGTACACTGAGTACATGACTGTGCAAGCAGAGAGTTATCATGGAAGCTGCTGGAGATCGGTGATAACACAAAATTTAATAGCACCTGTGAGCTGTAAAGAGAAAAAGAATCAAAGAAATGGTGCGTTTTGTTCAGCGACAACAGCCACCATAGTGCCCCTCAAAAGCGGGCTTGGCGATCAAACGCCCCCCCCGTTTGGCAGCCATTTTACACAATCATACATGTACACTGTACAAAATTAATGTGCATGGTACAGGGTAACGGCCTCTTTTACGGGCAAGATAAAGTCATGTAGACGTGAACAAATAGAGTTACCATGAGAAGTAAAATACATGTAGAACTGACATGGTACATGATACAGACTTACACTGTCCACATATTGCGGAAACATTCAATCAGACTACAGAATACTATTGTTATAATACATGTAGATGAAGTGTGAGTGTTGATAAATATGGTGGTAAAGACCCACCTGGCAATATGGCGGTAAACACACAGATGAAGTGTGAGTGTTAACATAATAATGTAATAATACTAGTGCCTGCACTATACCCATTGGCATTGGCATTGGCATTGGCTCCGCAACCCCGGATGTGACTGACCCTTCAAGTGGCTGCTATACATGATTGTATGCATTGTATCTATTGTGACACTGCATGCTGTACTAGTGCAGTGGCAGAGTGCCCATAGGCATAGTGGTGGTGGTGGTGGTGGACAGCTGTTTGACATCAGTCATCATCATCATCATCATCATCATGTTGCAAATGAGCACTATAATGTATTCGTACATGTACATTGTACGTAACGGATATCCGGACAGTCCGGTCAGCTGGAAATCGGTGTTTCCCTTCAGCAGTTCAGGGCTCGCAGGATGTGGCGCGGGAAGAGATGAATTCCCCGGCGGGGGAGGCAGGAGGGAAGAGAAGGAAGGAACCGTTTTCTATGCTACATACAACAATGTCCAGTATTGTGGATTAGGTGCATGAATGCGTGAATGTACATTGTATTATGGACAGTATGGTAGGTCTATCGTGACATTAGCCCGCTTTGAACATTCATCCATGCACATTAGTTTGTAGCGGATTGAATTCGACTGAAATCCATTGCATTCTATTGAGCCTGATCGTGGTGGTCGATCGTTCTGAGCTTGGATCACTAGCACTGTGAAGTGATAGACAATCAGCTGCTGCCCACTCGTCTACATCATGTACACTGTTTACTGTATGCCGGTGTTGCATGTCCTGGCGTGTAATAATAATAATTATTATCATTGTGTAAAGTAAAGTCAAGTTTGCACGTCCGCGTTACCACCGGCTATACAATTGCGTTGAGAAACACAACTAGCTTAGGAAGTTTCTGTATCATTGTGTGCACACCATAAATTAATAATGGCGGAAGCAGGGAGTCTACTGTACTAGGGGGCCACCATGGTAAATTGGGTTTTGCTTGCCAGAAAAAGCGGCTTTCTTTCAGTGTACTTCACAGTACAAGTTCGTTCAACTCTGAATTCAATCCTACTGGCAAATATTTTGAAAACGGTAGTGCCCAGCGTAACATGACACCCCGTGCTTCCTGGAATGGATACATGTACATGTAGATAATTATGATATCGGACAGTTACAAGTGGTTCGTGCCAAGCCACTGAAAACAATCTTCTCTGCAGTGTCTACAGGAGACACAATAGATGATATTGGCACATGTACATGTAAATCCAGTCATGTTCATGTGTCAAGGCGAGTACGATTCACTGGCACTACTAGTAGTAACCCGATAATAACCGCCTGTTGCCTGGCTCTACATTTCTACAATTGTAGTAGAGTCTCCACCTCACCCTGACGACTTGCATCTTCTGCTACTCCACCCTCTTCCACGCATACATGTACCGGTACATGCACATGACCGTCTTGTACTGTATGCCGGCCTTTTTGTATGACATTTATATTGACCTCACCTTCTCACAAACTTACATGTACTTACTTGTCTCTTATTGGGGATGGAGACTTGAGAATACAGTAAATACACATGTAATTCAAAGAACAAAGAACTAGTGAACTCCAAAGGGTGTTTGGGTGCTACATGTACATGTATAAACGCTGTCTGGTTATAATGTTGGCTGCACGCCCATCGCCTGTTTCTCACTGCTCCATTATTACCATGATTTTCATAACAGTTAGTCCCCATCATGATTGGCTGCTTTTGATGCGAGTGCATGCAGTATTCTGGGCGTGTGAAACAATCGCCATTGTTTTAGTGCCAGCACTGTCGTCACAGTGTCGTGCCTGGTTTGGCCTTGACACTTCGAATCGGCGTCAATGCACCCACTTTATAAACACCAAGCTATCTTTTCTAGTTCCATACACCTACTGTACACCGCTCGTCGCTACTTTGAAACAACTCTGTGCACATACATGTGTGCATGTACATGACGTATGTATGATGTAATGTGCAATAGCAAGAAAAGCAAGCAAAAACACTTTCTGGATGCTGCATAATATGGAAGGTCTTCTCATTGTGGTATTGAACAATGTGCATACAGGGAATATTTCTGTGCATTCTGAAATGAAATAGAATTGCATGCAAGCACGAAACCAGTCTGTTATGTTCATTGGCAGACAACAATTACCAACGAAATGTTCAGTTGTGGACTTGCCAGATCCCGTCGACATGGGATGAGACGTGAACTGGGCCGGTAGAGTCGAGAAGGTTTGCCACCTTTGCACCCGGGAGGTGACGTTCGACGTTTCACCGCCGGATTAAAACTGTTGTGCGGGAGTGTGCCGCTCATTAGAGAGGTTTCGACCCGCGTGATTTGTGCTCTTACGTGAACGTCAATTTTTTGCGTCGACGCGAGCTCAGAAAGAGCTTTCGTTTCACGTTGCATGGGAAGCACGTCATTTCGCTGACGACAGGAGCGAAAACTGGGAGCGAAAACTTCAAAAAGTGAAAAAAGTGATTTTTGGTGAGGCCAAAGTCGCACAAATATTATTTATAGCTAGTTTAGGCAAAATGGACAAAATCGAGTCAATAATCCCAACCTGATAGCAAGGCTAAATTTGAAAAACTCGCGTTCACGTCGAACGTGAGTTGACCTCAGCTCACGTCATGAACGGGAGTTTCGACGCCAAAATTTGCCACACCGACGTGAAATTTCACGGTGTAGTGCAGAACAACGTGAAGCGAAACCTCTCTATTGTCTCCCCTTCCTATCCCACCAGCCAATCAACAATTCAATGAATCAAAACTGACGATGCTGATGAATTCCTACTCGAATCCACCCGTTCACGTTTGCAGGCGGGGGATAGCCTTTCACTGTCACGCTGGAAAGTTAGTTATCAAGTGTCAGGATTAAGTAAGGAACAGTTTAATAGTTGATATGTGATACATGTACAGCTGGCGTATAATCGCTGGGGTGAATGGGACTCTTCAATTGTATGCAAGGAGACTGCCCACAAACAGTACTTTTGGGAATCATAACATTGTATTCCAAATACAAGTAGGGATGGAGCGGAGGTCTGTGGCGAGTACTCCCACTCTCCGTAAAAGTGCCGGTAGTTTTTATCTCCGCCATTGGGGTTTATCAAAATGACAGTCGGATGTTTTACGTGTCTGAAAGGATTCACCTGAGAAACTGAGCTCTGAGTCTGATGTATTCCAACACGACACGCAAACATTTCTACTTTCAGAAAAATAATTATAGCTTTGCACTGCCATTCGGCACAGGCTCAGTAGACTGTACTGGTTGAGTCCTGCGCTCTACATAGACTAGTCATTTCTGATCGGATCAGGATTTGTATCTCTCACGTGATAGCAAAAATAGCAGATTTCGGACAACCGGACACTTGTCAATTTGACTCTAGCTCTGAACTCAGCATTCATCACTGACATCTGCCGTGATCTGGCCATTCATGACCATAATGTATCATTGCTAGTGGAATCTAAAAGAAAGCAACATTTTATTACATCCGTCAACAACCGCTACGGCCTGTCAGATCCGAGCAGCTTCGTTTTCATGGCATTTGATTCAGTGACTTGCTGTCATTGTTGCATTGTTTGTGCAACACCAGCACACCTAAAAAACACTCTGAAGGCTGATGACAAGAAACGTTCTGAATCTCTCTGGCTTGGACCCCATAAGTCCAGACAGTGACATGTGGATTGACGTTTACTATGCTATGGAGTATGGTGCAGGCCAAATCTAGCTCTCTTCTCTGTTTGGTGCAGCAGCATCCCGTCAGCCTTGGTTAGAGCGTCACACCTACGCACCAACTAATAATATCCCGGACGTGTTCAAACAAAAATGGATCTGCTCGAGAAAACAGTGACCAAACCGGTGGTGAGCGAAACAGCATCAACTCAAAATGAATCATCAGATTCATCACCCCATGGCCCACACAACCACACGCATTCCTCGAGATCACGATGTGACAGCTACAGGGACGAAACCGAAAAAATCCGAGCCAGTGAAATCACGCTGGGCCATGTCATGATGCAACAGGCCATGGGCCTTGCCCAGCATGGGCCATGGTCCGTCACGGTGGAGTTGGTCTACGTCTGTACGAGTCCAAGATCGCCTGAGCTGGTGATACAAAGCATGCAGGTAAAACGCCTGTAGCCTGTGTAGGCGGTTTATCATTGGCCGGCTGCGTGACTGCGAAGTGCTTGCTGCACTGGTGAGTGGTGGCATCACACATTTCGCGTGCCCCGCAGCTGTGCGTGCTCCGATCTGTAAAGGACCAGCATTCCCTGCTCAGCATGCAAGCAGTCAGGCACGAGGTGGGACTGCGTGTGTCCGTGTGTACACTGTAACAGGAACGCCAAAACTCAAACTCAAAACAATCATCTCTCAAATGACTGTGCAGCGGAATTCGGATTCGCATTTCAGAAAGGTCTAGCTCAGTTCTCTCTACAACTAGTACAAGATCCTTACGCTGGTGAAATCTTGGGAGAACGCAGTCGAAAGCTTCACTCATCCAATCGTCGGCAACCTAGTTAGAGCGTACTAGTATACCTTGGTATACACTGCTGGCTTGGTGTTGGTGAAGTCCGGAGGAAACGAGCGGATCTGTGTGAGGCTCCGGAGCTCCGCTTGACACCGACCCTAGTAGAGCGGAGTCGTCCTAGATCCAGCGCCCCTCTCTTCACGCACACACTACCTCATCGCATGGTAGATCTACAAGGTCACAGACACAGGGACTCCTGTTTCGTGGAGAGAGAGAGAGAGGGTGCAAAGTCAAACATTCGCAGCGCGGCGGAGCGCCGTTTGCGCCGTTGCGCTCAGCGCTGGATTTCTGACGCTGTCAATTATTTAGCTCGTCCCTTGATAATCTAGGGCGTTCAGTTTCGAGTTTTCCAGACAGCGGTATGGTTGGAGAAAGTATGCTGCCCTATATTGGACTGTTACTGTTGCTCGTGTGTTGTGCGACTGGCCAGAGTACGGCTGACCTAAACCTGGACGTGCTGAATCCGCTAGTGTTCACCAGCGGTTCGGCGGAGGACTCGGCGTTCGGATATTCAGTTTCCTTCCATCGCGCCAGCGGCAGCACGAGGTCAGTGGTAGCAGAGTGTGTGTGTGTTTGTGTGTGTGTGTGTGTGTGTGTGTGTGTGTGTGTGTGTGTGTGTGTGTGTGTGTGTGTGTGTGTGTGTCTGGTTCCGTTACTGTATGGCGGCAATGTTTGTTTTCTTGCATTCTTGATGCCGTGTCGGCATAGCTGGCGACCGGACACCGGACGTGTAAATCCTGTACTGAAGAAAACAGTAAAGGACGAATATATTTTTGGGAAAATTGTTTCAAAATGGCATGCTAGATTGTTGATTTTCAATTCAAATTTTTTCAGTCAATCAGACATCCTCGGCCTCCTGACGTCCCAATAAATTGTTGTACATTCTACTTACTTAGCTGTGAAAACGAAATCTATGGAAGTGTTTTGGCAAACAAAAATGTACGTATGCGAGTGAGTGCACATGTGCAGTCAGCGTGTTTGTGAAGCTGTTTAATACTGTGTTCCTGTGTGGATAACACGGAGCTACTGACACATCAGTCATTGCTGCAGCTTGTAATGCTTTGGAATTATTTGAATGGATTTTTCCAGCACTACCAAGTACTATGTGTGTCAGGGTTTGTTCGGTTTTTGAAATTTTACGTATGAAACAGATGCACTGAAAGTGCCGAACCTAAAAGTAGAGTGAAACCTGTGACTAACGACCACCAGAGAAAGCGGTCCTTAGTGGCAGGTGGTCGCTAATCACAGTGGTCTTTAGTTACAGGTTTTACTGTACACGGAAAATTAGTGAAGTAACAACACGTTAGTTACAGTATTGGATTACTGAATGCATTGGGCGAAGGTAAATGTACTCAACATCTGTGTGTTTGGGTAGGAGTAGGCACTGGTCATTTCTTGTAGACGTACAGACGTTTCTGCCACTGCATATCCAACTGCTTTACCAGGTGACGAAAGCTTTGGCAAGGCCTCAGGAACAGCGATGCACATTCGCACATCTGACTGCAAAAAAATCCCCACGGTGCAGCTCACCAGACCAACGTGTGGGTCCTCTTCACTCAGTAGAGACGAGTCGAGCGAGCTGCAACTCCCGGTGCCCAAAGGCGGGCTCACGCCCCGACATGGCTACTTCCCCTTGTCTAACCCCCAAGACGAAATGAAAGTAACCGACTGGCCGAAATTTAAAATTTAAAAAAAAAAAAGCTCAAGTGAAACTGCCAACGACTCACACTGTGTACTTAGCCCCCATAAGCGAATCCACTACTTCAACACCATGGCGACTGGTTAAAAAAATTTCTTTGTACGGTCAACTTTGCGTATAACGACACTCGGCGGGGCATCAGAAAAGTGTCGTTATTCACGAAGTGTCCTTATACCCGATGTCTCATTATATGTATACAGGTAGATGGGAATTTGTTCCGGGCATGGAAATTCTGTCGTTATTCGCGAATTGTCGTTATAGCCGCAGTCGTTATTAGCGAAGTAGACTATAGATCGTGCTTCTCTCCAATGGCCTGCAGTGATAAGTTCCTTGTCGTGTGGGGTGTGTAACCCAACTACTCTAAATCCAGAGATATTCGTACCTGACGACAACTTTCGTACTTTGAGCTTTCAGAGCCATTCATCACAACACGATATTCGCACAGAGAGAAAGAGCCACATCGGTGCACGGTTCACAAACATCAAGGCGAAAAATGGCCATGGAGTGAAGGCTGAGATTCCCTACCACATACCTGTATTATGTATTGAAGTAAAAAAACGGTCTCTGCTGGGATGACGGCTACACCATAGCTCAGTGGTTAGAGCTGGCTACAAGCGAGGGTCCCTGGTTGAGTCCTGGTCGTGACAGTCAGGTTACACTGACACCCGGTATATATCATACAGGCCCGAAGTCTGTTTCGGATGTGTCTTGAGTGCATGTGGCAAAGCTCTGTTCCTGTTTTGACCCATGCTTGTACTTCTAGCATAACACGTCACCGTGTTATGGTGACGTGTGCCTTAGTTGTAGTTTATCATTGGACAGTGCATTTTGGATGTGTGGCTTTGTCAATATGGATTTTGTATGGGGTGATAGCCGAGGTAGGCAGCTGGTAGATGAGCATGTGTTTCCGTCTGTTGCTATAGATTCTTCTGTTGGGTGTCAGGGCTGTGTGTGTGTGTGTGTGTGTGTGTGTGTGTATGTGTGTGTGTGTGTGTGTCTGCGTGTTACGAGCATTGATTCAGTCATACATTGTTTCATGTGACAATGTGATTATAGCGTGTAGCATGCCCTGATGTCTGTTTGTAGACGGAAGACAGAAGTGTTCCTGCAAGCATAAAAGACCGGATGTGACTGAACGAAGCATTTCGCTGCATGTGTCGGCGCTTTATCTGATCGGTGCCGGTGTGCCGTGAAAGCAGACGTTATGGTGTGACACAACCTCACAATGTGCTGTTGCTTGACAAGTGTTCTCACACGGTTTCCAATAGAAAGAAAGCCCAATGAAAGCACAATCTCCAATGAAAGCATACTGGACGCATGCATTGAACACATATAGGTGACGGTCTCCAATAAAGGCATATGCAACTTTCCAATATGGACACTAAAATCGGAAACATAAAGGCAAGGGTTGGAGGTTGGTTGAAAAAAATAGAAGACACGTCCTTTATTCGAAAAAATAATACGGTGTTAAAGGGGAAGTATACCCTAAAATCAAATTTTCACCAGTTGTAGTCTTCTGGGTGCTGAGTCGAATGGTCTTGGTCCGAGGAAGCTGCGACGCTCCCTTCCTACTTGAATCCCAATCGAACTTGCGCACTTCCACCGAAACTGGGTGACTGCGCCCTACTAGATGGGGATTTGTATGCAAAATGTCACTAAAAGCGCCATTTCGTTCTTATAAAAGCACGGATGACCGCGATTGGCCCTTATGTTGTAGTCTTTTGGACGCTGAGTCGACTGGTTTTGGTCCGAAAAGGCTGCGATGCAGCGTTCCTCCTTTATTCCCAATCGAACATGGTTGAACAAGCGGTCACGTGCTCCTGGGTGCCCAAATCACCTGGTCACCGCGCCAGCAGGCGACAACTTTCACACCAAGGTTCAACTCGAGTTCAGCTCGAGTGACAGGACTGCACCCAAAAAAGGTCAAACAGGCTAGTAAGTTGTACCCTGCAGGCACGGTGACCAGGTGACTGGTGTACGCAGGAGCACGTGACCGCTTGTTCAACCATGTTCGATTGGGAATAAAGGAGGAACGCTGCATCGCAGCCTTTTCGGACCAAAACCAGTCGACTCAGCGTCCAAAAGACTACAACATATCGGCCAATGGCGGTCATCCGTGCTTTTATAAGAACGAAATGGCGCTTTTAGTGACATTTTGCATACAAATCCCCATCTAGTAGGGCGCAGTCACCCAGTTTCGGTGGAAGTGCGCGAGTTCGATTGGGAATAAAGGAGGAAGGGAGCGTCTCAGCTTCCTCGGACCAAGACCATTCGACTCAGCACCCCGAAGACTACAACTGGTGAAAATTTGATTTTAGGGTATACTTCCCCTTTAACGAAACACACCAAAGCACTTGTTACCTGACTTCACGTAATTTAGGCCCTATTCTTCCGAACATTGCCATGTCTGCACACTTATCAATCTGCTATCGGGCCAAGCTAGGTTCATTCAAATGCAAAGAGAAAGGTGAGGCAAGTAAGCGAAAGCGTATCAAAAAAATATAGACATCAAACTCTTTGAAATAGTTCAGACTTGACCAAACCTCCCTATTGACAGTGCCCTACCTGGGTGCGCCATCATGGGATGTTTGCTAAACGCTAGTATAGCAAAACTTCCCAGATTTTCTTTTGATTTTTTATTTGGTGTTGTCATCCTTTTACAGCGTGCTGATTGGAGCGCCGAATGCGGACATTCCACAGAGCGCTCAGTTTGGTATCAATCAAACGGGAGCAGTGTATCGATGTGATGCAACGCACGGCGCTACATGCCAGCAAATGGCCATCGATGTGACTGGTATGTATAATTGTACTTTCCTGTGGGTCGCGCTGCTCTTGCCTGCGCAGTGTGACAAGATAATCTATGTTGATGCGGCACTGTATCAGTCAGAATCACCCACCTCTCGCTCTCGAAATCCACTCGAAATCTAGCTTACCTTCCAGGTACTAGCAACCTAACTTACTAACTGAAATTGGTGTGAAATGGGCTGCCAAGTGAGCATTGGCGACATAAAAACAAAGCTGAAAGATAAGCGACAATATTGCTGACGCAGACCAGGTATAATGTAGTGTGAGAAACTAGAAGTCGGCCCTAGCAGCCTATATCTTGAGCACACATAGTGTCTTTGTTACTGTTGGAAGTGTACATCACTTTGCATGCACTCTCTTTGCGTTGTTTCATGCGTGTGTGTGTATGCGTGTGTGTGTGTGTGTGTGTGTGTGTGTGTGTGTGTGTGTGTGTGTATGTATGTGTGTATGTATGTGTGTATGTGTGTGTGTGGGTGTGTGTGTGTGTGTGTGTGTGTGTGTGTGTGTGTGTATGTGTGTGTTCGTGCATGCGTGGATGCATGGATGCGTGGATGCGTGTGTGTGTGTGTGTGTTTGTGTGTGTGTGTCTGTGTGTGTGTGTGTGTGTGTGTGTGCGCGTGTGTGTTTGCGTGTGTGCATGTATGCGTGTATGCGTGTGTATGTGTGCGTGTGTGCATATGTGTGTGTGTGTGTATATGTGTGTGTGTGTGCGTGCGTGTGTGTGTGTGTGTATATCTGCATGTGTGCATGTATTTTCCTGTGCTTTGTGACATCCCCATTTGATCAGACAACCAGAGGTTTAACTCAACCAAATTGCCCTACTACGAGGAGAAGAGCTACATGAGACTTGGCTCTTCTCTGATGACTTCAGGAGTGGATGGTGTCCTAGTGGTGAGTCCGGGGAATATTTACCGTAATGTCGCGTATTAACGCCGGGCTTATTCCTGTAGAAGCCGATGTCCGGGCTAGGCTTCTATTCACATCAGGCTTCTATTCAAACCAGGTATTTCTATGTGTGTCAACACTAAAACCAGGTATTTCTATGTGTTTCAACACTAAAACCAGGTATTTCTATGTGTTTCAACACTAAAACCAGGTATTTCTATGTGTTTCAACACTAAAACCAGGTATTTCTATGTGTTTCAACACTAAAACCAGGTATTTCTATGTGTTTCAACACTAAAACCAGGTATTTCTATGTGTTTCAACACTAAAACCAGGTATTTCTATGTGTTTCAACACTAAAACCAGGCTTATGTGCTGACAGTGTATCTTGAAAAAACAGGCTTGTATTCAAAACAGGCTTCTACTGTCGTGGACATGGAAATCCGGTCGCACGTCTAGCGGCCCCAGGGCGCTGGCCATGCAGCCGTGGTCCATGGCGGTCGGGGCATTTACGCGCTGCAGCGCGATGGTCGCATCGGATCACCATGTGCACTGCATGCAGCGTTCTGTTCGCACTGAGGGCGCCGGCCCCGGTCAATCGACTGGATTTCCATGTCCACGACAGTATATGAGATAGGATTAAATACAAGACATTACGGTACAAATGCAGTGTGTATGTGTGTTCCAGCGGATACCAGAGAGTCGTATGGATTCTGCGAGATCACACAGGTGATTGCTGCCCTCATCTTTGCAGAGGGCACCCAGGCTAGGACTTGTAGGATCATCGATTATACCAACATGTACAAATTTCGAAAATGTTGTGACCACACAACGGAAATTGTAGGAACGTTTTTGGTTCTCATCTTCTGTTGATGAATGGTGAGGCAACTTCTTGTATGGTATAGAGAGATCAGATCCGAAAGTGTATTAATTAAGTAGTGACGCTTATGTGTGTGATGCTGTTCCTGCTGGCACTGCTGTTGCTGCTGGTGCTGCTGGCGCTGCTGTCGGTGTTGCTGCTGCTAGTGCTGCTGGCGCTGCTGTCGTTGTTGCTGCTGTTGCCGCTATCACAGCTGTTGCTGTTGTTGCTGCTACTGTCCCTGCTGTTGCTGCTGCTGCTGCGGGTGGTGCTGCTGTTTTTGCTGTTACTGATTTTGCTCATGTTGATATTGCTGCTTCTGCTGTTGCTGTTTCTGTTTCTCGTGTCGCAGACGTGTGCCAGCTCATTTCATCTTGGCTTCAAAGCAGTTAGCCCGTAAGTTTCAACCCCCTTTTTTATCGCTGAGCCGAGCAATTATTCCTGTGGTATTGTAGGGCTCAAACAGTTAGTCTGACTAACCGGTTTAAGACCGGTTTTGAAAAGATAAAGGTTAACCGTTTGTGTAAAGGTTACGCGGGTACTTTTTCGAGTTTTCGAAGTATGCATTTTACCGAGTTTTGGCAGTTTTACAACTTATCATGTATGTACACATGCATACATGAACACTACATAGTACCATCCGTGACAATTTGAATCAATTTCATGCCATCCTTAATGCTTCTGATCTGTGAATAGGCGTGAATGAGCATGCCAACATGTGCATGGATTAGTAGATAGTAGTAAGTCTGCAGAGTACATTTTTGACCAAGTATATTGTACAATAGTGTTCAAGCTAGCCACACGCAGGACTGCCACAGCTTATAGGTTATAACCGATAAACCGACCGTTAGTGTAGCAGTTAAACGTTAAGGTGAAAACCGTAGCCGTTTGAGCCCTAGGGTATTGACCTCTCAATGGAGGCATACTAGTTTCGGATGCAATGCAGTTTGACTGACCCAAAGGTTTTATCGCACTCGCTGACTGTATATGCTCTTGTTGCATTGGTGAACAGTTAAGTCATAACTCGTAACATTTTTGTCCTTCCTTTTATTCATGACTAAATGGATATTCTTTTTTAGGTTGCAATGTCTTGGCCGTATGGCAAAATGGGATTTCGGCCTTTGGTTGGTGGATCTTATCTATCCTCCCGCACAATTTAGGAGCCACATCTGATGCCTGATCATGGGGTGGTGGCATCACTCGGAAGCGGAAATGCGGTTCTTGACCCGCCCTGTACGCGAACCCGAGCACTGTTTTTTTTTGGCCAACTGCAAGCATGTTGAACGTTACCGTTGTTTCCATCTTGATATGATTGTGTATTTTAAAGAACTCAGATGGTGAGCCAAGGAAAAAAATTGTAACATGGAAACTGTGGGTACAAGTTATGTGATCAAGTCCACCAACTAAACCAGATTTTGAACAGTCAGACGTGCACAATGTAGCACAAAACTGTTCAAAATCTGGTTTAGTGGGTGGACTCGATCGCATAACTTGTGCCCACAATTTCCATGTTACAATATGATTGTGTGTGTTTGGTGTATTATGTGTGTGTGTGTGTGTGTGTGTGTGTGTGTGTGTGTGTGTGTGTGTGTGTGTGTGTGTGTGTGTGTGTCCCATATGGTGCAGTGGTATGTGCAGCGATTTCCAATCGATAGATTGCGGGTTCGATTCCCGACGATTATGGTCACACACGTCTTTCTTCTCTTTCTCAGACTCTTCCTGACTTTTCTTTCATTCTCCTGGGTGGTTACCAACAGCCAGTGCATGCCGGAGTACGTGGTGTGATGTGTGTGCGGGAAAAAAAAAAGAAAAAAATGAAAAAAATGAAAAAGACCAAAAAAGGGATTCACTGGCCAGAAAATGCCACTCCAAATAGCTGTATGGTGTAGACCAGGCTGAGTAGTGACGGTCAATTCTTCAGCCTTGCAAGCTGTTGAATGGTGTAATCCCAGCACAAGTTGCTATGGCTTCTGCCGTAGCATTGCTATCATCGCCTCCGGCGATGGGCGTCAAAGGTCAAAGGTGTGTGTGTGTGTGTGTGTGTGTGTGTGTGTGTGTGTGTGTGTGTGTGTGTGTGTGTGTGTGTGTGTGTTATCTTGCAGTCGTCCTGGTTATACTCAACTCTGGGATGTAGTGGGTAGATGCTATATCCTACCTGCTGATCTCAACGTCGCCAATCAAGTGGTATACCAGCCGTGTAAAAGCGACACAATTGGTACGAATGCTGTTGTGTGTGTGTGTGTGTGTGTGTGTGTGTGTGTGTGTGTGTGTGTGTGTGTGTGCTGCCAGCTAGTCCGGTTGGTGGGTACACATATGCCAGATAGTGTTGAGTCTGTTGCCAGCAGGCTCGGCTGCTTGAAGGTGTATTGTAGCATCTGCCACCTTTGTTGGTTCCAGGGCTCATATACTTTCTATTTGAAGTATACACGTACATACCTGTTAAAGGGGAAGTTAAGGCAAAAATTAAATTTTCACCAGTTGTAGTCTTCGGGGTGCTGAGTCGAATGGTCTTGGTCCGAGAAAGCTGGGACGCTCCCTTCCTACTTGAATCCCAATCGAACTCGCGCACTTCCACCGAAACTGGGTGACTGCGCCCTACTAAATGGGGATTTGTATGCAAAATGTCACTAAAAGCGCCATTTCGTTCTTATAAAAGTACGGTTGACCGCGATTGACCCATATGAGCCCGAGCGCGCTAAAACATGACCACAGCTTTTTTTTTGAAAAAGTCGAAATAATCGCGATTTGAATTCCGCGGTAAAAAATACGAAGTGCAGTGCAACGCGAGTCGCTGTTGTTGTTCTCCTCGGTCGACTGGACTGTTCCGGATGCAATTCTTTGTTGCAAGTAAGTTTGTTTGTTTGAGTTTGTATTCCATGTTGCGCTGAGCCGCCTAAAACTGATCATCATCGATGTATCGACAGAAGAGCCTAGTAGTAGTAATGTACTGCGGAGCGGAAGAAGACGACATCATCGCACTCCATGCGCAGGATAAAAATTTTTGAGGATTCGGGTCGGAAACAGAAGGAAGACGATGATGGCTACAGCGACGAGTCATTTGAGGGCGACACTTTCATCGAGCGTAAACAGAATTGATGCTGGTAGTCCCACGATCTGCAGTGACGAGGAATTCTACTCTGATGACAACCTGGCAAGCGATTGGCATCGACACTGACTTGGGAGGTGAGTCGGCCGATGATTTGGCCAGAATGGACATCGCTGCACATATCCGGGACAATGCCAGTATTGGTTGCAAGTGCAAAAGCAATCAATGGACTCTGCTGCTCCCTCAACTTGCTCAAGTTGATAATTATTTGAGTACCCTTATGCGGAACATCGCTAGCATGAGCAGTATGCAGCGAAAGCAGTACTCTCTGGCGAGCGGAGAAAACTGAGTGCAGATGGGCTTTGGTGTGGGGAATATGAGTGCGACGTCTATTATGTTGAGGAACACTGTGTGCAGCAGTGTATACTGTATATCTGAAAGTACAGGTGGAGTGTGATGGAGAGGACGTGGAGTGCCAACTTCTTCGACCATCTACAGATGTTGACCGTGTTTTCGCTGGCGGTTCTCCAGTGGTACTCCAAACAGGAGGTATTTCGGACACCCAGCTCAGCTGCCTATAGAATTTTGGATGTGGCCGAGTACCTGTCAGCTCATGCTATAAGACCCTGGACAGAGGAACTGACCCGGAAAGGATGAACCAAGGGGCATATCAACTGTGTGCAAAATGACAATCCCATTGCTGTACATAGAATTTCACCATTTCAAAAGTGCTGCATAATAATACCAGTGTAGCAACACTTAGACATGTCAGATCAATCCAAAACTTTCAGACATAGAACATTAGGTGTGTTAGATCATTTTTGAACAAAAACTGAAAATCGAATTTTTGGTCTGTGGTCATATTTTAGCGTGCTCTGGCTCGTATGTTGTAGTCTTTTGGGCGCTGAATCGACTGGTTTTGGTCTGAAAAGGCTGCGATGCAGCGTTCCTCCTTTATTCCCAATCGAACATGGTTGAACAAGCGGTCACGTGCTCTTGGGTGCCCAAATCACCTGGTCACCACGCCAGCAGGCGACAACTTTCACACCAAGGTTCAACTCGAGTTCAACTCGAGTGACAGGACTGCACCTAAAAAAGGTCAAACAGGCTAGTAAGTTGTACCCTGCAGGCACGGTGACCAGGTGACTGGTGTACGCAGGAGCACGTGACCGCCTATTCAACCATGTTCGATTGGGAATAAAGGAGGAACGCTGCATCGCAGCCTTTTCGGACCAAAACCAATCGACTCAGCGTCCAAAAGACTACAACATATGGGCCAATCGCGGTCATCCATGCTTTTATAAGAACGAAGTGGCGCTTTTAGTGACATTTTGCATACAAATCCCCATCTAGTAGGGCGCAGTCACCCAGTTTCGGTGGAAGTGCGCGAGTTCGATTGGGATTCAAGTAGGAAGGGAGCGTCTCAGCTTCCTCGGATCACGACCATTCGACTCAGCACCCCGAAGACTACAACTGGTGAAATTTTGATTTTAGCCTTAATTTCCCCTTTAACCATGGACTGCTTCTGGCTAGATTAACTCTTGTGTAATCAATGGTGCTAGTGAAGCTTATATCAGATCCACTCTGATTTAGCCACCCACATTAGTAGCAAGTATTACCTTCACTGGGGGCAGGGGTAATTGCAGTTGGATCCCAGGACGGATACCCTGATGCCATCAATCCTTTTCTGCACCTTTTCCTCACCCACTTACTGAGGTGTGGTGAGCCCATAAGTGGGATCACTTTCAAGTCCACCCAAAGTTTTGTGCATTTCAGGTGGTGTCGGCCGTTGGGCGGTTCAATAGCCAATTGAGTCATCTTTCCAAGATTCCTTTTGAGTCTCTCTCCCCTCTCCCGGGGAGACCCACGTGACCAGGTTTGGCAGTGAGCAACAAGTACAAGTGTGTGTGTGCGTGCGTGCGTGCGCGCGCGTACGTATGTGGGTGGGTGCTTGAGCCGAAGGCGTGGACCTTCTGCCGGACGAGCCTCCCCAAATCATCCAAACAACAGCTGTTTAGGTTGCCTGGTATCCGGTATGCGTGCGTTATGTCCAAGCCAGTCCATGTGTCGCTTGCGGATGCAGGTGGATAACAACTCTGGCTTTACCCAGCTTCGCCTCAACTCTTCATTGGTCACCAAATCTGACTGTTGATCTCGCCGAGACACACCCAAGATGATACGCAAGCAAGAGTGGTGAAACCCGTAATGAGCCCCAGCCAGCAGAAACCTGAACATGTGTAATTTTTTCAAAAATTATTTTTTCCCTCGAAATTGTTTCTACACTATTAATCATTCAAGTTATCAAGTTTGATGACAATCTGATAAGCGAAAGCATGGAAAATAGAGTTTGAAGTCACACAGGTCAAGATTCCGTACAGTTGGCGCAGCATCCATGCCTAGTGATTCCATGCAAGTTGATCCTACAGTTTCTGATTGTGATGTGGAACAGGTACATGTAAGTAAATAGAATGCAAATCAGGCTTGCCCTCTTGGTGCTGCAGGCATGAGTTGTTCACTGAGAAGTGTGACGATATTCCGTATACATCACTACCTTCTTTACAACACCAGAGTGCAAAACGATGATTGGTGGCTGGCCTTCCAAATTGTGTTCAGGGACCTCTGTGCTGGCAGTTTGAGCGTTGTGACAAAGCTTGCCATACTGATAGATGTGCTCACCAATACCACAGACATCCACTCTCTTGCACACTTTCACTCAGACCATGACTTCAGCATAATTGTATTTCAATGATATGAGCGAATACTCGCGTTTTGTAGCACGTGAAGATGTTGCCCCAAAGCGTTCAGCCGGTTTGACTTTTTAGGAATCCCCTTTCTCAGCACAGGCAGCAGCCAGCTTGGCGTCATCTGGCAAGGTAGAGTACTGATAATACTACGCTCTGTTTTGCGCCGTGAGAAGCCCTCCATCAGTGTCTGCAGCATCATTGTTGTCGATGTAGAAATACGGATCGCTCAGCGGGACGACATTCTGCTTCTCCTCGCAGTCGCTATTACTCCAGCACTGACTATCGTCGCCACCAGTATCCAGTGTCGATTTTATGAGGGCTCTTCGTTGCTATGCATATGAGACTCGCCACTGCTGGACAAGCTCAGCAAGATCGCCACCAAACAAATAATTCCGATCGCGAACTAACTTTCAGCGCCGCTCCGCACAGGGAGTCTCGCGCTGACAACTCTGGACCTAAGTCTTTGTCGCGACACCTGTCGCCATCGCTGTGTCTAAACTCAACCTCCGTGTGACGAGCTCTCACCTAGCGCTAAAATCAATTGACCAGAGACATTTGAAGACACTTGAAACTCCTTTGACAACAAAGACACCCACTCGATCGAAAAAGAATCTTCAAAAGCCAGCTCACTGCGCGTCCCAAACTTTGACGTCACATTTTGATGATTGATATCAAGTACACAAGTGCTGGTTTTCGCTGGCCGGGGCTCAAATGTTGAACACACACACACAGATATGCACATACACACGTACACACAGACAGACACGCACACACACACACACACACACACACACACACACACACACACACACACACACACACACACACAGAGCCACCGAGAAGTGTGTTCGAATGCGAGACCCATTGCCACTACTGGCTCTCGTACTGTCATGTGCTGTTTTTCCTGCAGTGGCTAACAAACGACCAAACGGTGGATTTTTCACGGAGCTTTCCATGTGCTTAACGGGCGTCAACATGGATATATCACCGGTACGTTGATTCATTGTGTATTGCTGACCTGTACATGGGGCTTGAAAGTGATGACGTCACAAGTCAAGTGACGACGTCACGAGTCAAGTGATGACGTCACGAGTCAAGTGATGACGTCACGAGTCAAGTGATTTTCTTGCCTCGTTTGAGGCCAGTCTAAAACAAGCCTCTTCTACTGGCAAACAGAATACAATTCACAGTGGCATGGTGAATGATTAGAACGCAACAGAATACAATTGACAGTGGCATGGTGAATGATTAGAACACAACACCAAAAATGAAGAAAAATTTAATTATTACATGTGTAAACAGTGTACCATTTGGTAGAGGAAAGAGTCCCTAATCAAGCAATGATGTCACAAGTGAAGTGATGACATCACACAAGTCAAGTGATGATGTCACAAGTCACCTGTAGGTGGAGTTCAGCTTTAGGATTGGCGGTTATAGAAGTGTACCGGCTACAGTGTTATCAGTTTCAAGATTCAAAAGCAGAAGTATCCTTTCCACTCCAACTAAACTGGTTATAAGGGTAATCGGCTACAGCAATGTATCGCCTATTGTGATCAAAATCTCACTTCAAAACCACCCAATTGCATACCGTAACTCCGCGCATATAAGCCCACGGGCCTATATCCGGATATAAGCCCACCTCCGTTTTTTAAGCCCATGGGCTAATAAGCAGACACAAATGCAATTCGCGTGTCAAGTAGAATTTTTCACAATACGGACTCTTCCTACCATGGTATAGCAAGTCAGTGCAGTTTACCAGTAGAGTATGGTAGACCCACTATGAGCACGGATTTGTACTTTTTCGTGAACCTTCAAAATTCAAATGTTGGCCCATGGGCTAAAAAACGAACATGTTTTACTGGACATTTTATCCCCAAACTGCATTATTTCGCATATAAGCCCATGGGCTTATATGCGCGGAATTACGGTACGTATTGTATTGTTTATAGCAATTGACAGTGCGTACAGGAAACTTTGGGAAACTGAGATTGTGTAAAATGCTGTGTACTACCAGCAGTGTGGTGATCAGAGTGTAGGCAGGTTGTCTGTATTTTGTACTTAACAAGACTTAGTCTTGGTCTGGTATTTACATTGTAGAGGGGACGGTTCGATACCGGAACGGTTTGACAGCCAATGGTGTGTAGACCCAAACTGATCATCAGCGTGGACTGTTCACTCGAAATAGGTTTGTGGAAGGAAACTGGCATGTTGAAGTTTGCTCTCACGCCAGAGTCGATCGAACTGAGCCACTCCTTTGTGTTGGCTCGTTGCCTCCAAGTTGCTTGATTTTTCGTTTCAGAGGTGGCTCCAAACCGGAAAGGTTTTAGAGTGCACCTCAAATTCACTCTGAGTTCTGAAATTAGGTAATTGGTGTCGCTCCACGACGGCCAGTACAGAGTAACAATAAGCCTTGTGTGTGCTTCCATTAGTTTTCATTGGTATATGGTGCTTTATTGGCGAGAGGCGAGTCGCTGTTCACTTGCGACAAGAAGTTGATTTTTCGAAAGACGTAAACTCAAGTCGAAGTGCGAAGCAACACGTCAAAAACCCACCTGCTTGGTATTGCGCTTCTGGTCATCGCAGAGCGATGACATTTTGGCTCTGAGTAAAACACATCGTAGTCTCACTGTGACATTATGTTTTCTAATCGACATACGAAGAGAGAAAGTGAATATTGAGCTCGTTCCGGTTTGCAACCTATTTCCTATTTGAAACCGCCTCCTCTATATCCATATACAGAGTAAGTACAGTCAAACCTCGTATAACCGCACACATCCGTTTTCGGCGAAAAAAATCCGCATAGACGATGGAACCGGATACTCGAACACATATACTGTATGTATGCGTGGCATGTGCTGTGAATCGGTAACCAGCGATTTTCTTCCGGATGGCGAGAGATCCGGGTGAAAGAGGACCGGATAAGCGAGGTCTGACTGTATGATGCATGTCTGTTTGTGTATGTAATCCTGACTAAAGTCGTAAAGTTATCACTTACATACCACCCTGTCCAATATCGCATGTAGTGATCATCATCATCTGCGTTGCCGAAAAAATAATAATAGTAAAATAACAATAAAATAATAAACGGCATTATGCAGCTGTGTAAGCAGTAGATGCACACCGTCAATACAGTAGTGGTCAAGTCACATTTTTTCAAACACCAACGCTATAACAGATCTCTACCTGTGGTGCGGTAAAAGCCTGTGTTTACTGGAGCCTGTACCAAGTGGAATCCTATATTGACAGGGATAATGTTACAAGCACCAGTGTACTGTGGATCTGAAGTGCATCCCTGAATCCAGCGGATACCTGTCATATCAGGACAGTTTCCGCTGCCTCAATGGCATCCTGTTATGTCAGGTTTTACGTTAGTAGCAAATAGCAACTTTTTGGAGGGCCAGTCCAGCGAGTGCGTTCGATTATGCACGCGAATTGATTCACGAATCGATTCATGAATCGATTCGCGCTATTCACATCAACCCATGTGAATAGAGTGAATTGATTCCGAATCGATTCCAGGGCTCCTGACATGAAATCGAACGACTTGAATGCATGCGAATGGATTCATGAATCGATTCAAGTGTGTAATCGAACGCACTCACTCACTCCTAGGCCTCCGTGTGTTTGTGTGTGAGAGACAGTGTGTACATATACATATGTTAAAGTGTATGTGTGCATGCATGTGTGTGTTTGTGCGTACGTCTGCGTGCGTGCTTGCATGCGTGTGTATGTGTGCGTGCGCACGTGCATGTGTGTGTGTGTGTGTGTGCATGTGTGTGTGTGTGCGTGTGTGTGTGTGCGTGTGTTTGTGATGTGTCTCCATCATGCATATGCAGACCTTTCAGAACATGGCCGATCGCTCCAGTCTTTTAGTCAGCGCCTCGAACTTTCGAGACGGAGTCGGTAAGATGTCAAGCTGCTTTATACACCCTTGTCATCATTCTCGGTTTTTGATGTTGGCAGTTTGTCATGGTGAAGAGTGTTACGGAATCTCGGCCATTCCGTTCCCCGGGACGCAGGACACACAGGATAAGACTTGTTTGTTACATTATTTATATTGGCAAGACGGAAAAGCAAACTGCTCTGACAGAGACGAACAAGAAGACTGACAAAAGGACTCTCGACTACAAAATCGCGCATGCTCATATCACACATGCACGCGACTAGACGAGACAGTTTGGGGAATGCCATCACACAGGAAAACAACACATCATTTCATAACACCTGCCCCCATGATGACATTCCACGAAATAATAAACCGACACCACGTTCCACATGCACAACAGCAAAAGGAACCACTGCAAAACAGAAAAACCAAAACCAACCAACAGCTTACATTGTAGCACAACAAAACTGGGCCACGACACAGGGCCAAACCAAGACACAAGAGCCGACGCTCTCAACCAAGCCGCACCACAGGGCCAAACCAAAAAACACAAGAGACGACGCTCTAAACTCAGGCACAGAAGGCCAACCGAAACACGAGAGCCAAAGCTCCAACAAATAACAACATGCGCGCAGCAGTGCAAAATAAATCTACAACGCCAATTAATGCAGAACAAAAAAACGACGAGAAGAGCAACATACCGACAACCAAACTCAACAACACAGCAACGAACTGAACAGCGAGAGAAACACGATCAGACATCACAGCGATCAAGACAACAACAAGACGAACAACAAAGGACGACACACAGTCGGTGATGCCAGACTCATCCACTGGCCTCTGGCGAGCCACGTCCACACGCTCCATGCGGTACCTGCCGTCCCAGGCTCCAGTCCCCAGCTTCTGCCGGTCCAACCACCTGCTCTGCCTCCTCTTCCACTGTCTTGCGCTCCCACCAGCTTCTCTCCTGACCTCCTCCATTCCCACGCATACTTTATAGTTTTACTTTGTTGTTGACGACGACGACGAACGGACTCACTACAAACTAACTCATCCTCTGCGTCCCGGGTTTCGGCACCACGTTGTTACGGAATCTCGGCCATTCCGTTCCCCGGGACGCAGGACACAAAGGACAAGACTTGTTTGTTACATTATTTATATTGGCAAGACGGAAAAGCAAACTGCTCTGACAGAGACGAACAAGAAGACTGACAAAAGGACTCTCGACTACAAAATCACGCATGCTCATATCACACATGCACGCGACTAGACGAGACAGTTTGGGGAATGCCATCACACAGGAAAACAACACATCATTTCATAACAAGAGCTGAATGAGATGCATAGCCCGTTAGGCGCCAAATTTGAGAAATTCAGATTTTCAGCTCAGTGTAATCGAAACGTCTAGTGACACCTCTAGGCAAAATTTCACATCCCAATTTTGGCTAGAACCGTTCCAAAACTGGAACCAAGATAATGGATTAAGATACAAACCGCACATAAAATTAAACCTTTTTGGCCTTTTTCCAAAACGTGTTGTGATGGATTTGGCGAATTTTGCTCTCCAGCTCTTCAGATAGATAGCACGCCGGGAATACTCGGCACCATCTGGGTGCCAGATCCGGTCAATTGTATGCATGGTGGAAGCAAGAACCCCTAGCCGGCTGTTTTGAATTTATTGGTCTCATCAGCCGAGCTCCGGGTCACTGGTCGCCAGACTGGAAATCACTTCAAGTAGTCAAAGGGGTTGAGGAGTTGGGGTTGAGGATGGGGTTTGGGGTTATGTGTGTGTGGGGGGGGGGGGGGGATAGGGAGTTAGATGGTTAGGGGTGGGAGTAAGGGAGGGGGGGGGGGTGCTTTGCGTGAAACGTGCAGTTCCACATATGAACCGTTTCTTATCCTGTCAGCATACAGCATTTCAGTATTCATATAATAATACCCATGTGTTCCCATCCGCATGGCACACATTGAGCAATTCTTGATCACATTCAAAGATTGAACAGACGTGCAACACAGTGCAATCAGCCTTCCAGTACACAAAGTCCTGCAATCTGTCAATTTCAAAGACCACATCCACTGGGTATTTTTGGTTTTTTTATACAACTCCCCTTTCTCATGTTATCTGGGGGGTTTTCCCACAGGAACCTCCATGCTAATAGTGTATTTGTGTTGTGTCTGTAGGTACCCTTATCAACACGGGTATCGGCCTGCAAAGTGGCAGCCTTGTGGACACCAGTACTGAACAAACTCTACCACCGTACATCTTTGAACGGCGTAACAGGCCGTTGTTCGAGCAGCAACTGCTCAGAAGATCCTCCCAGACTGCCTGGGCGTCCACGCAGGGTGACTTCAACGGTGATGGACTCCATGGTTAGTGGTGGTGTCCTGGCTGACTGCTATGTGTGTGTGTGTGTGTGTGTGTGTGTGTGTGCGTGCGTGCGTGCGTGCGTGCGTGTGTGCGCGCGCGCGTGCGTGTGTGTGTCCGTCTCGCCAAGAATGCTGGGATGACCACATCACCAATCACCAACTACGTGTGAGGTGGGGTGATCCCGACACCATCCGCACGAAGGTGGAGCACCGCCGCCTTGAATGGCTCGGGCATGTTGCTCGGATGGAGGACCACCGGCTGCCGAAGCAAGTTCTCTTTGGCACGCTTCGGTCGCGTCGCCCAGCTCATGGCCCTCGTCGGCGCTGGAAGGATTGTATCATGTCTGACCTTCGTTCTCGCGGCCTCGAGGGGGAATGGCGAGCTGAATGCGAGTCGCGTTCCACCTGGCGCTCGGCGTACTCAGCACCGGTAGATGCCCAGCATACCCCTCCCGTCACCTGCTACACCTGCGACCGACAGTTTACACGCCCCAGTGATCGCGCACGCCACAAGTGTAAGGCTGAGCGTGCGAAGCCGGTTGCGGAGCAGAAAGGCGCATGCCAGTGTGGAGAGTGTGGCCGTTGGCTGAAGTCCCGTGGAGGTCTGGCAAGGCACAAGTGTACTTACCCCCAGTCAGCAGTCGGTGCGCCCCTGCCGCTGCCTGCTTCTCCGCTGTGCTGCGTCGCTCACTGCCAGGCTTGTGACCGCTGCTTTGCGTCTACACGTGGCCGCGCCCGTCATCGCTGCTCGCGGACTTGTAGTCGTCCGATCGTTCAGGACCGTCAGGGTTTCACGTGTGTTTGCGCCTGCTCCCGCCGATTTCGCTTACCGCATCGCCTGGATCGTCACAGGGCTGTGTGCTCCTCCTCTCTCTCAGCTGCCCCTCCGAGGCCCACGTAACCTTCATGGCAGTGGCTCAACAGGACCGGACAGGTGTGTGTGTGTGTGTGTGCGTGTGTGTGTATAAGTGTGTGTGTGTCCGCGCGCGCGCGCGCGCGTGCGTGCAAACACAAAGGACATCTTTTTTGCTGATTTAGGGTGTGTTCAAATTTTCTCTAGCTTCTCGGAGAAATTATCCTGGCAGTCGAAAAAACTGGAATAATGTAGAAAAAGGTCTCGAAGAATTCGGGGAAATCCTGCACATGGGAATATGAGAGACTCCAATGCAGTACGTATTCGAAGCGCAAAAGGAGCTGCGATCATGAGTGACTCGAAGTTACATGGAGTGCGCACTGTTTGGTAGTAAACATGGACGATGGGTCCTGCGCTCATGATGAACACATGAGTTATGACTTCTCAAAGTACAGTTCGCATGCGCTGACCCCCAAACTCGTGAATATCCGGGTTGCAATCTCCTTCGAAGCTCGGAGAGCTTTGGAGAACCACCCAAACTTCAGAGGGGATATTAGAACATTTCTCCAATTCTTCGGAAAGTACTCGTGAGAATACCTCTACGCAAACAATCAAAATATGGTCTCTTTGCTGCACACGTCATCAACTTTTCAACACGTTTTCCGACAGGGCCCACCGTCAGGGTGAAAACAGCTTTCTGTTTCCAGCCTAAGAATGGGCCCTGTCCGAACATTTGTTGAAAGGTTGATGACGTATGCAGCAAAGAGACCATATGTTGAGTGTTTGTGTTCAGGTATCCTAATGTGTAATGTGTAAACGGCTGCAATGGAGTCCGTAAGTGATAAGAAATGTCTTCGAAGAGCCTAGAACTTTTCCCAACGCACCCTTTAACGCTGTTTTGACACAGAGTGCAGAGGCCAAAGGCTGCGTAATTCTAACTTCCAGTTTCACACATTTCTGCCATCATCAGACAGTGGCACTTGGCATTCACGATAGTAAAGTTAAGCACACAATAACGCTGTTTTATATATATGTTTTTGTTATACAGAACTTGCTTTCAACAAGCCTCTTGCCAACCCAATATACGATGGACCTGACTGGGCGGTATGATGCTTTAATCTCAACATATGTGTGGAAATATGTGCAAGTGTCTCTCTGTCTGCCTGTCTGTGTTTCTGATTGGGTGTGCATGAATGTGGGCGATGTTATGTGGATGTTAATGGCGAGTACTTATGGGTGCGTGTGTGTGCATGTTTGAAGCACTGCATCACCTACAGGTGGCAGTTTCAAAGTTTCAAGGTGTGCGTGCGTGTGTGTGTGTGTGTGCTTGTGTGTGTGCTTGTGTGTGTGTGTGTGTGTGTGTGTGTGTGTGTGTGTGTGTGTGTGTGTGTGTGTGTGTGTGTGTGTGTGTGTGCGTGTGTGCAGCGATTTCCAATCGATAGGTTGCGGGTTCGATTCCCGACGATTATGGTCACACACGTCTTTCTTCTCTTTCTCAGACTCCTCCTGACTTTTCTTTCATTCTCCTGGGTGGTTACCAACAGCCAGTGCATGCCGGAGTATGTGGTGTGATGTGTGCGTGGAAAAAAATGACCAAAAAGACCAAAAAGTAGGGATTCACTGGCCAGAAAAGCCACTTCATAGCTGTGTGGTGTAGACCAGGCTGAATAGTGGTGGTCAATTCTTCAGCCTTGCAAGCTGTTGAATGGTGCAATCCCAGCACAAGCTGCTATGGCTTCTGCTGTAGCATCGCTATCATCGCCTCTGGCGATGGGCGTCCAATGGTCCAATGGTCCAATGGTGCGTGTGTGTGTCTGTGTGTGTACGTGTGCGTGTGTGTACGTGTGCGTGTGTGTGTGTACGTGTGCGTGTGTCTGTGTGTGTGTGTGTGTCTGTGTGTGTATGTGTGTGTGTGTGTGTGTGTGTGTGTGTGTGTGTGTGTGTGTGTGTGTGTGTGTGTGTGTGTGTGTGTGTGTGTGTGTGTGTGTGTGTGTGTGTGTGTGTGTGTGTGTGTGTGCACTCCCGCATGAGCATTTTCTGGTGTCCGTATACCCAATAATGACTGTTGACCTTGGCAAAGTATACACATCCACTCGTTCACACGCAAACACGCACGCACATGCACCAACGCACGCACACACACACACACACACACACACACACACACACACACACACGTATGCAAATGCGACGTATGCTGAACTGCATAGATTAAACGAGAGACGGATTTTTAAGAACAGTAGCAGTGCAAACTGTTCATGTGTACACATGAGTGCGAACATAAAAAAGTGACACACGCTTTGAACGGGCATTGTTCCGGCATTCCTCCCACCTTCTGTTTAGTCAATCTTTCCTGTGTGTGAATTTGAACTCGGATGTTGAGCCAAAGTAATCATGAATTAGGGAAAGGACCGTCATAACTCATAACATTTTGTCCTTTCTCTTTAAAATCCGTTTCCTGTGTGTGTTGTTTATTGTTTAGAAATTCCCCGTCATCTTCCTGGTGCCTGTGGTGGGAGATGATTCTATCATGAGACCGTCCACGCAGACGTTTTCCTTCCCAAGCACCGTTCTGCCAGAGCCATACCTTTTGGGACCGGGGCTTGAGGGAACGTTGATCAATGAGAGCATGCCGGACCTGAAGCCGTACATCCGCCTTCCAGCACAACAAGTAGGATTCTTTTCATTTATTTATTGTGTATTTGTAGAAAGGAAAAGGACATATGGATACGAGTTAAGAGTAACTCTCCACCACTGTACAGTCAACTTCGCTTATAACGACTGCGGATATAACGACAATTCGCGAATAACGACAGAATTTCCATGCCCAGAGCTCTAACTGTAATACAATCATATAATGAGACTTCGGGTATAACGACACTTCGCGAATAAGGACACTTTTCTGATGCCCCGCCGAGTGTCTTTATACGCCAAGTTGGCTGTAACTAGATACTTTATCGGGGAATAATTTACTTTCAATCGTTTGCATAGCAATTTTGCTACACAAAATCAAACTTGAATAGCAATTCGAAAATGTTGCATAGCAATTTTCTTCAACACTTGACAACATTGTCGTCATTCTGCATAGCTGTTCAGAGTGCAAGCTCAGACCACAAATACACTGTAACACCTTAGTTGCAAACCTAGCCTGGTGCCAGGATGCATAGCTCAGCACTTTCGAATCTTCGTGTATCTACCTCATCCCTAAGAGACACACCTGGCATGTACACTGTGCATCATAGGGTACAGTGAAAAATCAACATGCATCGCAGTTTTCTGCGACACATTTCTGAAATTGCTTAGCACCTTAGAGGAATTGCGTAGCAAACTGCGATGCGATACCGGTTAAATTACTCCCTGTATATGCAGTCAGAATCTACAACAACTAGGCACAAAACTGACAGAGTACTGAGAAAAACCTTCAGACATGTGAACGCGCACATATACAGTGATTGCTTCACGTGCACAGTTTCAGGCCCGGCGGAACCGCTCCGGCTGGTCAGGCCATGGTCGGACCAACGTTTAGGCCGGCAACGTGTGTATACTGCTGAACGTGTCCAGTGCAGACCCTCCATATCATACACAAACTGTATGAAAGTCATGTGTATACCCTCCATATCATACACAAACTGTATGAAAGTCATGTGACTACCCTCCATATCATACACAAACTGTATGAAAGTCATGTGTATACCCTCCATATCATACACAAACTGTATGAAAGTCATGTGACTACCCGCCATATCATACACAAACTGTATGAAAGTCATGTGACTACCCTCCATATCATACACAAACTGTATGAAAGTCATGTGTATACCCTCCGTATCATACACAAACTGTATGAAAGTCATGTGTATACCCTCCATATCATACACAAACTGTATGAAAGGCTAGGGTATGGCCGGACCTATCAAAGTCTGCTTCCGCCGCTCCTGCAGTATGCTATTGGACTGTTGTCTCACCGGGTTTTATCTACTGTAACAACACAAAATGACGAGTTGGATCGACATGTGTAACGGCTTTATTGTAAAATTGTGTAAATAATGTGGAGAAACTAAAAAATGTGATTCCTATAAAATCATCCTTGGCTCTTCATGCGCTCTCCATCCGAGTCATCATTGACAATCATCACAACACATTTTTTGTTGCTCCACAATATTTTAACGTTTTTACAATAAAGCCGTTGCACATGTCGATCCAGCTCGTCTTGTCGTTCGCAATTTTGAAACTGTTGCCACCTCGTCGCTTATTTATTTATCTCACCGGGTTTGATGTACTATTTCTTTCTGTAGACAGCATTTCTGTGCTCATCTTCTCCATACACTCTTCTGTGGGCTAGCTGCTACCCTCGCTACTTACCAAGTCGCTAGCCATTGCACACACCAAACAATTCCAACAGCTAGTGTATCACATGCATTTGTTAGCTCCCGGCTAAATATTATGCAGTCCCATCATACTCGTAGAACACAGGGTTGAATAGGTTCAGAAGAATTGAATATGGAAGGAGTAGAAGTAAAACACCCGTTACCCATTGTGTCTGTGTTTGTCCTCTCGCCTTTCTCTTCAGCGGTTTGAATTTTTCGGCTTCACCATGATCACTTACGACACCAATAATGATGGGTAAGAGAGAGAGAGACCCCCCCCCACACCCACCCACCCACACACACAGATGCACTCTCTCTTCTCTTCTTTTCTCTTCACTTTGTGCACTGGGCATACATCGCGGTCGAGACCTCATGTCGACTAAGCGTGCTCAGCCCCACCACCATGACACTGACTCCTCTATACAGCATAGCACACAAGGTGCTTGGAGTTTGGAGGCTCGTAAACAACACACAAACAAAAACCCCACATAGACACATAGACCCTACACACTCAACGACAGTCACTGAAACTGGAATGGCAAATCTGTATTGAGTGGCACCAACCATTCAATCTGTGATCATTTTGAATGGCAACCCAGCATCTACCACTGTGTTCATAGGTGTGGAAAGCAGCAATTGTTGATTTTGAAATACTTTTTGCTGCCTCACCTTTTACAGTATTGCTGCACGGTTTGTCCGTAAAAGGTTGCCAGCTTGGACTTTCTGCATTCTTGGGCTCCTTCCCAGGCATGCTGGACTCATGATCTACTCTGGTGATGTTGCATCGGGAACTGGCTGAATTGACTGAAATACCATCACTATATACACTGCTACACCGTTGAAAAATAATAGTTGAGTTTTAACCTTTAAAACCCTAGGCTCGTGTTGTGTGATTTCCTCCTCTGCTTTGCTGTGCTGGTTTAGCATGGATGAGCTGTATGTATCAGCGCCAATGTACAGTGTGGGTCTGGATGGAGATGAGACGGCCGACGTGACCAATGGAAGGGTCTACGTGTACCAGCAATCACTCACTGCGGTAAGCCTTCGTCGCCAACACCAGCCACCAGCCCGGCATTTTGGTTCTGTTCTGTCACCCGTGATATCTTTCACTCCCTCACTCACTCAGTAACTCAGTCATTCACTCAGTCACTCACTTAGCCACTGGCTCACTCACTCACTCACTCACTCATGCACTCGCTCACTCACTTACACAATGACTGACTGACTCACTCACTCACTCACTTACACACTGACTCACTGACTCACTCACTCACCCACCCACTCGCCCACTCACCCTCCCACTCACTCACTCACTCACACACTCCGTACCCACTCGCTCACTCACCCACCCCCTCAAGCAATCGCTCATCACTTTCTCCCATCGTTTTCTTCTGTGTCTGCACATTCCCATGCTCCCTTTGCCCGGCGTATGCCTACATGTCCAGGCCACGAACACGGTGTTCGCCCAGAACCGACCAGCCACAGCACCACGCTATATGGAACTAGCCAAGCCTGATCGCGTTCTCATGACAGGCCAGAGTGAAGCACAGTTTGGTACCTCGATGGCTAGACTGGGTGACCTCAACAAGGATGGATACAATGGTGAGGATCATGGCGTCCGGGGAAGCAATAACAACTGATCAGTTGTGGGGCCCCTACCATTAATTGTTCATGCTCCTTTTTCTCAAGGGATCATTCGGGGAAGTGAACTGCCTGAAGTGAAAAGAGAAAAATGCCACACCCACCAGGACTCGAGCACCTTGCTCGTCATGAGCAATGCTCTGACCATCTGAGCTATAGGATGAGCAATCGTCATGAGCAATGCTCTGACCATCTGAGCTATAGGACACGTTTAGGACACGTTTTATTTTTTCCTTTTTCCTTCATAACTCATAGGTAGGTAGGTGTGTTTGACGTTTAAAATTGTTTTCATACCTCTATTTGGCCAATATCACGGAATGAATTCCTATTTTTGGTGTAGCTACTTAGTACACTGAGGTTGTAGGAGTGCAGTCAACCTTGCCAATGGCAACCTCGGATATAAAAAAACAACTCACATTATCTTCAGACCAAGCAATCACTTGATCGCGTACGTTTAACCTCGCGGATAGTGACAACTTACGAGTAGCAACTCCTTTTCTTGTGACAGAGCGAGAGTCATTATTATTCTCAAGTTTTACTGCTCACACTTAGTGTTAGTACTCAGCATCATACAGGATGAACAGATTCCGGCAGTGTATGCAAGCCACTGACTCATTCATGTAGCTATCGTGAAAATGGATGTGTGTGTGGTGTGTGTATTTGTGTGTATGTACGTATGCGTGTCTGCGCGTGCGTGCACACATGTGCGTGCACGTGTGTGTGTGTGTGTCCATACAGACGTGATCATTGGCGCACCATACCAGACGAGCG